TTCTATATCACTGGTCTACTAGTCTGTTTTGATGCCAGTACCATGCTGTTTTTGTTACTGTTGCTCTGTCATATAGTTTTAGGTCTGGTGTAGTGATGCTACCTGCTTCAGTCTTCCTGCTAATGATTGCTTTAGCTATTCTGTGTCTCTTATTTTTGCAGATAAATTTCATGATTGCTTTTTCTATTTCTATGAAGTATTTTTTTCTTTTAAAAAAAATTGTGTTTCTTCCTACCTCTGACAGACTGCCTGATGACTTATATTATATTTTCTGAGGCACTCAGATTAAACTCCCATATGTGCCTCATTCTCTCTAAATGATAATTAAGATACAGTTTGTTTCTTTCTATAATATTTAGGCATCCTGAAACACCTGTGTGTTGCACAAAATAACAGTAAACATCAAATAGAAAATTAAACTCCATGTTGGATTTCTCAACTAAAACTTTCAAATCTAAAAGGACAGTTCTCATCCTGCTTTTCTTACATCAGTGTTTTTGCTCATCAGAGAACATGGGTTCTTGAGACTTTAGTACCTTCAGAGTTGCATAATAATTAACATTAAAATCTATAATCCTCTTGCCCTCCCTGGGGAGACTGGAATGCTCCAAGAGTGAAAAATTTTCTTAACTGTCATAAACTGAGTACTTGAAGCCCAGTGTTGTTTCAGGTTGAACTCAGGTACTGCATTTAGTGGAAGCTACAAAATGAGAAACTTAGAAAAGTAGACATAGGAGATGGAGATGAAGATGAAGAAGGATATTGAAAGAGGGAGAAAAGAGAGAGAAATGGGTGTATAAGAGAAAAAGAGAGAAAGAGGGAAGAAGAATTAAAAAGAAGTGTGTGTGTGTGTGTGCGCGCGCGCGTGCACTTATTTGAGTAGATCCACATAACCTCTTGTATTTACAGCAATGCTTTCTGAATTTGATTCAGAAACCTGTAACTTCATATTGAAATTATGTTTCATTCTTATCTTCTTTGTTTATGTGAGCTGCTAACAGATAAAGTCTATGGCTCATTTATACTATCACAAAAACTCAATTCATTATGTTGAATAAGTAAATGTTGAAAATAGCTCAAATCTAAATTACGGGGTCTTTGTAATATCAATTTCCCATTTGTCTACATAGTGTAGCCTATAGAACAACACTGAACTCCTATTTCACTTTACAGCTTTCCAGTTGCAAATGTGGGCAACTTGATAACCTATTGTTTCTTCTATATGCCATTTATAAAGTGGAGCTATTGCTGGGTGCAGAAGTGCACACCTGTAATCCCAGAAACTCTGGAAGATAAGGCAGAAGGATTACAAGTTCAAGACCTGTGTCAGTAACTTAGGGAGGCCCTAAACAACTAAGTGAGATCTGTCTCAAAATTTCAAATAAATAAAATTAAAAGGTGTGGGGATGTGGCTCAGTGGTTAAGCACCCCTGGGATCAATCCCTAGTACCAAAAATTAATTAAAATCAGTTACAAAATTATATTTAAAAAATAAAGTTATTTCCCTATCCAACCTGAAGGATTGCCCTGAAGATTAAACATAATATGTTAGCACTCAGAACAGTGATTATTAAACACTGTTACTACTAAAAACAACATAAAAAGTAAAAGCAAATTAAGCCAATGAATAAGATAATTATTCCTTTTCATAGTGATTATTTCTCCTTTGTTAATTAAATTATGACACAAGTAATATACTGAATTCAAAAATTACTGTTTATTATTTATGTCTGTTAGATTAACTTTGATTATATTGAATCATTTTTTATTACAACAACAACCAAACACCAGCCTCTGGAATGGAAGCTCTGTGACAGTGTTGGATAGTAGGCTTTTCACTACCATTGAAAGAACAAAAAGACACCATGTCTTATGCTCATGAGAAATAATCTTTAATAACAAGAAAATATCATGAGTTGTCACTTGAAAAATATTTATAATTTTCCTAGCACCTGAAAAAAAAACATTTTTAGATTGTTTCATTTAAATATTGATATGACTTCCATGAGTAGATAATTAAGGTTCCTAAGGTGAAAAAAGTCTTCCCTGCATTTATATTCTTAGATGTATCACTATTTCCACTTACATAAAAATTACTATCACATGATTCCATTGGCACATGTCACAGTATCAATAGGTTCATAAGCCTCAGCAAAACAGAATTTTGCAGGATATCAAAACTATGATAATTACCTTGCTTGTTCTTAATTTGCATATTATAGAATTTTTGATTTTTTTTTTGGCTGGCTAATTAACACACTTGCATTTACTCATACCTACATTAATTCTCTTTTAATCACAATATTATTGAGGATTTTGAATGATCAACTGATGTTTCTAAAAATGCATTCATTGATCATTTATGGTTACTAGATAGGTCATTCTCTTGGTAAGAAAGAAAATATGACTCTTCATTCTAATATAATTTTTAAAATGTTGTGCACTGCGGAAAAAAATATCAAAATTGATTTTTTGCAAGATAATAGTATATTTTAAAATATATGTAGTAAATAATAAAAATATACTATATTGGCTCTGAATCTCTGAAAATATCTTGAGAAAGTTTAAAATATAAAAGTATCTCTAAAAATATTTGTTATCTCCAAATATATTCAATCCAATTTTTAATAGTTGTAACTAGAGCAATTGTCTGTCAGTTACTACAACATCCCCAGGAATGAAACTCCCTATTGAAGAGATTTTAAATAGTGCATGTATGCTTACATTTAGGAAGATCATTCTAAGTATAATTATGGATATAAAGGAGAAAAGGAAGTGGAATGATCTCAAGAGAAGTCATATCATTTAAGTGAAAGATGGCTTCTCTGAATTTAGATTAATTAGATTGGAAATTAGAATATAAGAACTATTGAAAAGGTAGAGAGGCATAGGCATGGTGGTGCACACCTGTAATTCCAGGTACTTTAGAAGCTAAAGCAGGACAGACTGTCAGAAAAGAGAATGTAGAGCAAATGACTTCATAGTTAGAAAGCAACAACAAGGGAAGGCAGTCTAGCTTTTACCTATGTAGCACTATCATTTATTTGGAGGTGACTATTTTACCCTAAACTAATTTCTACACTTAAAAGCTTAAGGATCAACTAATTGATGTTCTTTAAAGTATGAACTTCGGGAAAATATTCAAATGGCCAGTGTGTGTGTATGTAATGAGTATTATTTATATCCTCAGAAAAACTGCTAAATTAGAAAACTGGAAGAGGATTTATATTTGTGAACTGTATTGCATCCCATAAATTCATATACTATTTCCTGTTCAAAATGAAATTTTTTATTTTATCAATTATAAAAGGAATATATCCTGATATTAAAAACTTAAGCAACCCAGAAAAATACTGAGTCTTGCCACCCCAAAGTAAGCACTGTTGACATTTTGTTGATATTTTTATATTTAGATTTATCACTTTTTTTTTTGCAACAAAAGTCACGGACAATTTACCATATGAATTAAAATGTATATATCATCAGTTTTAGGATTATACAGTAAGTTAATCAGTTCTCCATTGAAATTTTGTTCATTACTTATTTCATTATGATAGAGAATGCTGCAGTAAACACCCTTGTGTTATATATTCTGTTCAATTTCCTCTACAGAACAAATTTTTAAAATTTCTAAGTGTAAATATATATATATAATCTTTCACATGCCTATAGCTTAGTGGTCTACTTTAATATTATGTAACTTCTGATTGTATTAAACATGTTTAATTTTTTTAGATGACTAAAGTAAATTACTGTAGTATAATAGGAATGTATGCCTTATTTAACTTTGATTTTAAAAATCATTCATAAATCAGGCAATACACACTGACAACAATATATTTCTTTGTTATTATTTTCTATGTATTCTTAAAAGAAATAATCGTTCATTTGGGGGAATAATGATTAACAGCTCAACTGTTAATCAAATGCTCAGGACGAAAATTAAAAAAAAAAAAAAAACATTCAAATGTGTAATTAACATGGGCTAGCACATACCCTACATCCAGTATCATGGACTGATTACAGTGTTTCCCACGTAGCTGCTTGTTCTGATCAATTGTTGATGAAAGATGAGAAAAACAAAATAGCTTGCCAATTAAAGGAACAGTAAGTTGCAAAGATTAATACTTTATCCCAAATACATATTTCAAGTCACATATGCCGGTTAGCCCATGTATTTCTTCAAAAAAAGCTGCCAGCAGGAATAATACCCTTCAAGAGATTTCCAAACTTTTGTGTTGTCTCCTTTAGAAATGATGTAATAGAGTTGGAAGGAACTGATGTCCAGTTATATATAATTGACTCAGTTGGATAGTAGAAATGTATGACTCATGGGTGTTAATCCACTCTTTTCTACAACACAGTGCCTCCCCATGCATGCCAGGTAAGCACGTTACCACTTGAGCCACATCCCCAGCCCCAACTTGTTATCTTTTTAAAGCAGAAGACTTTGTGGTATTTTTCATAGAATAAGTGGGACACAAAATTTATCTTGATGACTCAAGATTATTGTTACACATGTGCTTATTTTATTATGGGGAAATGGTGAGACACCCTGTAGTAATGTTGAGTTATAAAAGTAATGTCTGTTTCTAAATACCCCCAACTCTTTGTTATATTAAATCATATTGTTGGCCTTGTAAGGAGTGGCAGATGTAGTTTCTCCTTGCAGTCAAACTTGGAGTTGTCCCTTACTTGCCTGTGAATGCCAATAAATCCATTCTAATTTTTGATTCTCAACTCTTTTTGGTAACCTAGTTGAACAGTCAAGCTAATTGAAACTTAATTATGTTCACCTGTAATTCTGTGACTTCATAAAGGCTTGCAGATGCTGATATGCTTTATAGAAGCTAGATTGGAACTTTGGGGCAGCTATCTCATCACCTATTAGATTTATGTATTTATTCAGTAGAGTTGAATTTATCAAAAGTTTAGATACTATTGACTTTTTCTGACAATTGGCACTACTTTGGTAATTTTACAAGAGAAGATGTGCTATCCCAGTTTTTCTACCAGACCTTTATTTTTTTGTAGTCAAATTTACCAGGGCATAATTTTCATACAGTAAGATGTAGACATTTTTAGTTTGATGAGGTATGGCAAATGTGTACACTGCTGTAACAGCTCAAGATACAGAAAACGCATTTATCCAAGAAAGATTTTCCATACATCTTTGTGATCACCCTTTCCCTCCGGTCGTTTGTCCAATCACCAATTTATATCTAGTTTAACACTTCTTCATGTAAATGGTTTTGCCTTATGTACTCTTTTATGCCTAGCTTCTGTCACTCAACAATGTCTGCCAGTAGCATTGCTTCATTTAATTTTAATGCTGAGTAGTATTCCCTTATGGATATGTATTCCCACAAGTTATCCATTTATCTGTTGGTAGACATTTAAAAATCAAGATTTTAGAACACTCTGGCTTCACAGGCAATCAACAAGACTAACTTCATCCTCAGACTTTCAGCAACACATTTAATAGTTATTCACTTAGCTGATGCCTTCTTATAACACTTCTTTCAGTGTTCCTGCTGCTGCTTGAATTGTGAAAACTGCAATAGAAATATGTTTCTTTATTTCTGTCCAGGCCAAGTGAGGGTCTGCTTTATTTTCAATATCAAACATAGCATCATAAATCCCAGGAAATGATTCTCCAGCATATTTGTTGTGGCTACTTGGAGCAAAAATGATGTGCCTAAAAGAAAATATTCTTATTATTTAAAACAAATGGAAATGAATTAGTACCATAACTATATTCACTTCAGAAGTTATTTGGGAAAGTGAAAGGGTGCAATACATTATATATTCACTTAATAAAGTAACCTTTACATTCATACACAGAAAAATTATTCCTATACCACTGCAGTAGACAAACTCCATAATGTAACTACTTTAGAATATACTTTTAATATTTAGTTAATAGTCAAAAATGTATTTTAAAAAATACAGTGTAGGCCAGTCACAGTGGCATATACTTGTCATCCCAGTGATTCAGAAGGCTGAGGAAGAAGGATCATAGGTTTGAGGCCAGCCTCAGCAACTTAACAAGAACCTGTCTCAAAATAGTAAAAGCACCCCTGAGTCCAATCCCCAGTACCAAAAAATAAAATTAAAAAATCAGTGTAATTTTTTTGGAGATTAGGTTGTAGTAACCTCATCAAATTTTAAAATGTGTTGGTCCTTAGACCCTGAAATCCCAAGTCCTAATTATGCAGATAGTAATAGTTCAAATAGGACACAACAATGACTTACTTCCATATATATTTATTATGTCCTATAGTAATAAATAACTGGGAGAAAAGACTCAAAGTGGTAGAGTGCTTGCCTAGCACATGTGAGACACTGGGTTTGATCCTCAGCACCAAATAAAGGTATTGTGTTGTGTCCATCTGCAACTAAAAAAAATAATAATAATTTAAATAAGATAAATTATAAAATGTGAGCCATATAATATAGCAGTAGGCTGCAGATGAAAAGAGCAAAACTATACAGTAACATAGAAAGCTAGAAGAGATTATTAAGGGAAAAAAAATATGTAAACTCCTATATGGTTCCATTTATCTTTAAGTAAAGAAATGTTCATATTATAATGTGTGCATGTATATGTATGCAGACAATATGTGTATTATAAGTAAATGTATACATATATACATGAATACAATTTATGCATACTTACATGTAAACCATATATACAGATTATAATGATACACATTTTACATATTCATATGTGTGTGTGTGTGTGTGTGTGTGTGTAAAGAAATTCCCAATAAACACTGAATTTTTCTGTAAATAGTGGGACTGAGTGAAATATAGGAGGGAGTGATGAAAATGCCTTGTCTCTTTTTTTTTCTATATGATCCTATAAAGACTGATATTTTTATATTTTAAAATAATAGGTGTTTCATTATAAATAATAGAAATTTAAAGAGACTAATAACAAGACTATATTGTTTTTAACTTTTTGATTTATATACTTAACTAATTGCCCTATTTCATTTGCATGAGTAAACATTTATGTTTTTATTTACAATTTATAAAACTAACTGCCATGTACTGAGTGTATGCTTCTTTAATTTTGCCTTGCTCACACTTACTACGTGACAGAGCTGGGCTCCATAAACTTCTTATAATTACTTAAATGTTAATAATAATCACTGATATTTAGGAAGGTAATGTATACAACAATTTTTGGCATGTTATTTGTTGATAGATAGCCTTAGCAATTAACATCATCTTAATTGAGATGGGAAAGCCATGGAAGCCACTTAAACTAAATCTCACATCTGTAAGTGAACTTGATCATATATTTTACGACTTTACATTTTAGGACCTTTCTAATTTCCACAAGAAACCATAATTTACAAAGGACCTTGAGAAAATATGACTGATATACAAAAAGAAAACCATTATATTTCTTTATAGGAACATGGCAGCCATCTTTAAAAAACCTAAAATGTTATATGGAAATGTTACTCTACTTTGGAGAAAAGATCTGGGTCAAAGGGAGAACATTACAGAATAATAGATTTCAGATCTTTATGAAGAAAGTTTTGTAATAATGAGACCTTCTCTAACAGACTGGACTTCCTCATGAAGTAAGCTTCCCATCCTGTATATGTTAACTGAGAATCTGTAAGGATTCATGTAGATAGTTCAACTAGCTGAACTCTCTAAGATCTCCTTTTAAATTCTTTGGCTTGATAATTTTGTTATAAGAGTTCTTATTCAATCCTCACCATTTGTAGAAAAATGTGTAATTTTTTGGTATTATGTATTATACTAGTATTAGATGCATAATATGCCCATGTTTCTTTCAGTATACATAATCACCCTCTATTCATTTAATAATAACAGTTTACAGCAGACTTTGGGTATTTTTTTTCTTGTCAAAGTGAGGTATTTGGTACCCTTTAGTGGATTCCCTACTGTTTTCCTTACCTATAGAACTGTCTCCCTGGTAAACCAAGAGGATCAATGAATGCTCTTTCCAGAAGCATCAATTGGTCATTCATAATTCTCACTGCAATGGGACTTTGAGAACAAGAAATATGTAATTAAAACCTTTACTATAGAACCATATTTAAAATAATATTAAATAAAGATGACATGGAAAAATAATTAAAATCAATATATTTTTCTTTTTAACAAAAATGCATATTAATCCAGTACTGCTTTACATGATAAACTACATAGCAAGGTCATCATTCCGGCATTTATAATAACAGTCCTACTGGTAATGATTTGTTTTTCAAGGCCACAAGATGATCAAAAAGAACTGGAAGACAGTCAGCTAGGCATTTTGGATAGTACAGGGTGAACTACCAAGTTGTTCCTGACAAGTCACTCAGCCTACTGTGGAAGAAAGGAGCCAAATAAAGGCAGAATAGCAAACAATGACTGAAGGTTTTAGGAGTCCACAAGAAGGGAAGGAAACAGTGGGCTGGGAATTCCTTTTGCACTTGAAATTTTCAGACTGTCATCTTGAGTTCCCTGGGCACTCCTACAATTCAAAGGAGAAGAAAGTCTCCTTAAAATGACTGACAAAGCCAGGTGTGATGGCTCATGCCTGTAATATCAGCAGCTCAGGAGGCTAAGACAGGAGGACTAGAAGTTCAAAGCCAGCCTCAGCAATTCAATGAGGCCCTACATAACTTCAGGAAACCCTGTCTCTAAATAAAAATACAAAAAAGGACTGAGGATGTGGCTCAGTAGTAAAGCACCCCTAGGTTCAATCCCAGGTACCAAAAGAAAAAAGAAAAAAAAAATGACTGGCAAAGCTTTCTGTTTTCTGATTAAGTCTGAAAACGTAATGTCATGGACTATAATGTGGAGCAATTTATGTTTATTACATAATGTTTTACTTTGAATATAACTTTTAAACTATTTTCAAGCTAAAACTGGCAACAAGTTATATGAATCTGATAAAGAAAGAGTTATAAATTGATGCATAGAAGTGTTGGAAAAGGACTATAATGAAATAGAGTACAAATGCACTTAAACCCATAAAGCTATGAATGAATACCAGCTAAACAACACAAACTCCTAAAAACACGTTTCTGGCCCTTGTATTGGAATGAGTGTTTAGACTTCCATTTACAACAGTATCTCCTAAATCACCTGAAGTTCTTTTTAAAAAGCAAATTTTAATTCTCTATGTCAAATTTTATTCTCTATGGTGGGCTCTGATTTCTGCCTTTCTAACAAGCTTGTAGGTAATGGTGTGCTATTGATTTGCAGACCATAATTTGAATAGCAGTGATTTAGAGCTGAATGCTTAAGGGAGTGAAAACAGTTCATTCCTGAAACCAGATTATTCTTCAAAACAGTAGGCATCTGAAACTTACTTATTAAGATCAACTTCTGTAAGTCTTCTATGAAAATCTGAAGCAGCCTCTGAGAAGTTTTTTACAGCAGAAAACAAGGAGTCTTTTTTTAAGTAGAAAAAAGAAATTACAGGCATTAGTGAGTCATATTTTAATTTCATTTTTCTGTCCTCTCCACACTAATGTGAAGGAATAGATGCTGAAACTATTTTGTTACTGAACCTTCTTGTAGATTCATGAAAAGTATTAGAATATATCACCAAAAATATTGTATGAAATTTTTTAAATGGCTAAAATTATTCTTAAGGAAATTACCACTCAAAAATTTAGAATATAGATAATTCTTTGACCTATAATTTACTCAAAGCCAATATTCATTCCTTTATATATTCATTTTAATATATTTTATTAGGACAATTACTCCACATAAAACACTGAATATATAGCTATAAATAAATGATAATCCCTATAATTGTTACAGGATTAAAACAATAACAATTTTTTTTTCTGGCACCAGGGATGGAACTCAGGGGTACTTGGCCACTGAGCCACATCCCCAGCCCTATTTTGTATTTCCTTTAGAGACAGGGTCTCACTGAGTTGCTTAGCGCCTTGCTTTTGCTGAAGCTAGCTTTGAATTCTTGATCCTCCTGCCTCAGCCTCCTGAGCCACTGGGATTATAGGTGTGTAACACTGAGCCTGACTCAATTTTAATTTCCAAGCAGTACATTTAAGATCTTACTCAAAAGGCAACCTGTGACAAACTGATATATCCAGACTCAATGATCAGGTTTGATGGGTTAAACTTTTCTTTAGTTTACAAATTAGGTTCTCAGGACTTCTTTAATGCTACAATTTATTTTTTTTCATGTTTTCTAAGCAGGAGTTGATTGATGGATACTGGGAATTGAACCCAGTGTTGATTTGCCACTGAGCGACATCCTCAGCCCTTTTTATTTTTAATTTTGAGACAGGGTCTTGCTGAGTTACTGAGGCTAGCCTCAAATGTGTGATCCTCCTCTCTCAGCTTCCCAAGTGTCTGGGATTACAGGCATACACCAACCACTGCACCCGGCTTCTAAGCAATACATTATTGTTTTGCTATTTGCATCATTCTGTTATTCAGACAAAGTATAACATAAAGTATTCATTTTATAGATAGAGCATGTACAGCTCAGACAACAGGATTTCTATTAGGTCACTCTGATAATTGGTACCTTCAATATAAACACATTTAGAATGAAAAACAGGGTCTTTTCATCCTAGATTTTCTTCAATTTTACTTGTGTTTTAAATCTTGCTTAAATAATAACAGATGTGATGGAAACTGAGGGAAGAGAGTATTGAAGTTTTTAATTTTAACTGTTTAACAGAAGTTACAAGGCACAGTGGCACATGCCTGTAATCCCAGTGACTGAGAAGCCTGAGGCAGTAGGATCTCAAGTTCAAGGCCAGTCTCAGCAACTTAGACCCTAACTCAAAATAAAACATAAAAAGGACTGGGGATGTAGTTCAGTGGTAAAGCTACCTGGGCACAATCCCCAGTATTGGAAAAAAGAAAAAGAAAAATGTACTGAAGTCAAGATAAGAATGGAAATGTTTTCCTAGAATTTAGTGACTCAGGTCAATGACAATTTTGGCAAAAGCCACTTTCAGTAGATAAGATAGCACAATGAATTAATTTGTGTGGCATGGAGAACTGGAGACAGGGAATGCCAATTTTGTGTTCATTCATTTGGTAATTCATCAGACTTTTCTTCTTCATTGAAAACATTTTTCCAAGATAATGTTTTTGACTGGCACTAAATGAAGACTTTCAATAGTGAAAGAAGTAGTACACATCAAAAAAAAAAAAAAAAAAAAGAAATACTATTGAAAGATAGGAAAATATTTCATCTGAAGGAGAGTCACCAATGAAGAAATTACTAAAATAGAGCAGAGCAAGGCATTAACAGAGCAGACCAGGTCCCAAACACGGTAAGCTGGTAGAAGAATGAATACCATTTAAAGGGAGCCCTTCTGTTGAGCTTGTGTAGTTTATGCCTCTTGATTGGACCCTGACTTATACAAATGGATAAGACATAATTCCACCAAAAGGAAATCTGGGCACTTATAAAGGCAACTGTATGCTAAATAGCCAAAGAAATATCAAGGACTGTCTTCCTGTTAACTCTGCTTATTTCTCTAATTTAATCTCTTCATTTCCTTCACCATGCAGAGAGATACCCCAATCATTGATATAACCACAATTCTCTGTATTTTCTTTGCTTGATTTTATTTCTATATCAAAGTACCTCTATTCTTTGTAACTTCATAAAGATTACTAACACTTATGTAATAATACTTAAAATAACATATGACCACTCCATAACACTTTTCTGTGCTATAGTACTCTGTGTATCCTCTAATATCCTATGCATTTTGTCTTCTCCTTGCCCACATAAGGTTTTAATCTTTGAGTATTTGACTAAGTCTTATAATACAATCTCTCAGAAATAACAGCACTTTCGACAGAGTAAACAGTACATATTTTACAATTTTGTTTTATAAGAATAAGTCCCCCTGAATAATAAAAGAAAGTGATAATAAAATAGTAATAATAGGCAGCATTTATTAAGCACAGTGCTAACCACCACTGCTTTTGTATTACTTAATGATCTCCACAATAATCATTGACATATTATAGTCTTTCATTTTATTGTTTCACTTCTTAAAAAAAAAAAAAACAAAAAACTGGGGCACAGAGAAGTTAAGTAACTTTCCAAAGAACACACAGACTAAATGATAGATCTGGGATCTAATTTAGGCAATCTTCCAGACCCAATAATCTATGCTACTATTCTACATTATATTTTAATCCCTACTTTATAGGAGATATATGAAGTAGAACCAAAACTGAGTGACCAGTTATAAAAAGAAAGATATTTACATAGTTATAACATATTTACATAGCTTATAACTATGTAAATAATTCTTCATTTACACAAACACTAATGGAAATATTCAGTGATACGAATGTTTAATACATATATGTAGTAGAACTGGTGGTCTTCTCTACTTTTCAATATTTTTATAATTTCTTCACTTTGCTTTTGTAAAAGTGAAAAATGTTCTTAAAGGCAGTATAGTATAAGGAATATTTACCAATCCACTGCTTGTAGCACTAACTCAGCCATAATTGATTCATTCTAGACACATCAGATTAAATCAGATTCCGAATTTGGAAGATGTTTATTTTTGTGTAAAAGAATTAGTTAGGAAAAATAAGTAATTATGACTAATTCTAGAATGAAACAGTATCTATTGATCATAAAAGATAATATCATCAAGCACTACCTTAAAGATTATAAAATGTCTTACCAAATGATACCCCCTCGTCTTTCAATTGCTGGTCATATTTCTTGGATAAATTGAAGATAGTTGCTGCATAGTTTTCCAAAGCTGTTCCACAGTCTTGAATATTGAAAGGAATGATTATAGATTCTGCAAGCTCATATACCAGTGCTCCTCGTAATTGAGCCACAGAGAGCTGTTTCTTAAATGTGGGGTAATAAAAATTCTCTACTAATTCAAATGTTTCATAAATTGTGTGATATACAGGGTAGCTGCTGTATTTATCTGTTTTCTAAAAAAGAGAAGATTCAAGTGTAAAATAAAATTGGATATTTATTCAAATTAAAATATTTTGTTATCAAGAGAAGTGACTGAAGAATTAATATGTATCCTGAATTTTAACACAATAAAGCAAAAATATTGAAATTTAATTAACTAAAATATTGCAACCAAAAATTCACTGATTTAAAATTTTACCTTTATTCATTTTATATTCATGCAGCCTTTATTCAAAATGCCGCTGCTTGAAGTTTTTCTTTATTGTATTTCTAATAGCTAAAATTAAGGAATATATATTCGATCTGCACATTATCAGTTTGAAATTATCCATCAATTGGGAATTAAAGGTGCTTGGCAGTTAGGTATTTATTCAACTGAATAATGGTGTATTTAATGTCTTCTCTCCCCAAGAAGTGTATAACCAAATCATTTAACCTTTATTATATAATTAAGAGCTACTATAATGAACATTAATTATGGTATAGTAGGATCGTATAAGAATATATATATATATATATATATATATATATATATATATATAATTTTAGTTCTTAGGTCTACCTATCCTAAGTTTAGTTTACCACCTGCTACCTTGTTATATGGTTATCATTCATATTATCATTCTTATTTAGTATCAGCAAAAAAAAAAATTGTCTTGGTCACTCTCCTTCTAATTGTCTGTTTCTAATCTGTAGTGGTCTTAGAAACTACATAACTGCTCAAATTGATGACAGGGTACAGAAGTGAAAATGCCTTGAAAATGAATTAAAAGCTCACCTTTTATGTACAGTTGACCACTAAACAACATTGGTGTTAGAGATGCTGATTTGTCCCCACACATATATTTCAAAATTCAAGGATAACTTTTGACTCTCCAAAAACTGAACTACTAATATCCTGTTATTGACAGGAAGCCTTACTGAAAACAACAACAATTATCATATATTTTGTGTGTTATATGTATTCTATATAGTGAAAATATGTGAGAATCATAAAAGATTACTTTTTATTTTGCTATGCAACTTACTGGAGAGACAACTGATAATGCAGGGATGATAAGTGTCATATGGCATTTGAAAAAGATACTCGCAACACTTAAGCTCACCACAATACAATAGAACACAGCTATGAAATTATTATAGTAGTATAGTGTAGACTATAATTAATTTTAATACTTCTTTACATGTTTATATTTCTTTCTCCTGCAAATGATACCATGTCTCCTTAAGCATTTGTGTGTGTAGGTTTTGATAAATTCTAAATAGTTATAATAAACTTTCCTGGTAGTAAATAATAACACAGACTATTATTTAAATACATTTAATGTATTCATGACATACCTAATCTTTTATGTGTATTTTCTGACAGGGAGGCTACATTATTCATCTGTACATTTTTCAAATTGTAGTGAATCTCCAAAAAAATCTACATATAAATGAACCCACGCAGTTCAAACCCATGTTGTTCAAGGGTCAACTGTATTAAGTATAAGGCATATTAGTATACAGAATTTATACATCTATTTTGTAATATTCTGGAACTGTTCTAGCTTAATTCTTTGTTCTTAATTATATTCTGGACTGTCAATTTTATAATGGATACATATTATCAACATACAAGATGTTGGTGTGTTGCACTTTTGATTTAAAAATTGATTAAAAGCTGTGAAAATCTGTGTTTACTAATGTAATCTTCAGTGTAATTTATGGTTTAATTTATAATATAGATAAGTCAATATGGTATGTTGACTATATCCAAGTTAACTATATCATCCAGGTGCTTAGGTGACAAGGATGCAAAATAGACACTGCAGAACAGAAGAATATCAAGTTAATAATTAAGAGAAACTTGCTGTTCTTTACTCAGAAGTCCTGGACTCATGATAGGCAGGATTTGGAATATGAAGAGGGGCTACTGACAATAGATAATATTAGTGTACCCCTCAAACAAAATACATCCTCCGACTGCATTTTCCTCAGAAAAAGGACATCAGAGCCTACAAGATGAGGCTAGGAAAAAATAAATAAAACTGGCTAGAAGATGAGATTTTTCCAACTTACCCTGAATCAAGAAAAGAATATGAATTACCTACTACTGATAACCATGTGGCATTACTCTGTGAATTGCCATTTCAGTGAATAAACCTAGTAGTGAAATACTCACAAAATAATCCAAATTACTTCCTGGTTTATCTAAAAGAGCAGGCAGTCTGTCTGCATCCCTGGAGTTCTTCCCAGGCCACTTGTCTATCTGGTGCCCAATGCCAAACAACTTAGAAAACAGTTCCTCACCAATGGAAGGTGGATTCATTACATTGTTGCTATCGTTTAGATCTGAAATGTCCCCCAAAGTCCCATGAGTTAAAGGGTTGGTCCTCAGGTTGCACTACTAGAAGGTAGCAGAACTTTTAAGAAGTAGGCTTTGTGAGAGGTCTTAGGTCTTTGGGGCATGATAGCCTGGAAGGATAGTGGCAGTACTTCTTATTCTTATTTCCCTCTTGGTTTCCCAGCTGTAATTAGGTCAGCAGCTTTCCTGCACCATGTGTTCCCCACAAGATGTGCTTCCTCAACCAGGCCCAAAACCAATGATGCCACTGACCATGGACACAATTCTCCCAAATGCTGAGTCCAAATAATCTCTCTCTATCAGTTGTTCACCTCAGGTATTTGTTACAGTAATGGAAAGCTAACACAAATGCTATATATTGAAAATAATAAAGTGGCTTACCCTGTTCTTGGTGTAACGAACTCTGCCTGAAGCAATTCCAAGTCTCTGAAAATAAGCTTCAAAATCACTTCCAGATCCCAGCTTGTTGATTCTAGATGTAAAATATGGAAAAATAAATAAAAATACATACATACATGAATATATAATTAGATAACACAAAGTTAAGCAGATGATTAATGAATCCTGCCCCAAGAGTAGTAAGAAATTACGTAGTGTATGTACTACAAGGATTAGTACAAGCTAATAGCCTTCAAGGTAATTTTTTCCTAGCATACATTGGAAAATTACTGTAATAAATTTATAAATATGCATTGAAGACAACCAGAGATTGGCAGTGTCATCAAAACTTGTAGCCTAGTGATGAAGCCAACTTCCAAATTTTCAGCATCTAAGAAAAGTGCAAAGCAATGTAGCTATGGTGCCTACATTGGAGCATATAGTCCAATATGAAATTTGCCACAAGGAAATCTATATTTAAGATCATGAAGAATCTATGTGTACCTCATTTCATTCAAAAAACAAATCTATTTATATGTATTTGCATATAATTAAAATCACTGTACATATGCGCATGCAGATATATGCACATACATACATGATCTAATGATGTGAAATTTTTCTGTGAACTAATGGTGAACTAATAAAGCAGAATATCATATTATATTTGCATTAAGAACTGTGCCTACTAGAAGAAAAAGCAGGCCCAAATCTTCACCATGTTGCCTTAGGAGATGACTTCCTTAACAAGACTCCTAAAGCACAAAAAAACAATCAATCAATGGGATGGATTCAAACTAAAAAGCTTTTTCTCAGCAAAGGAAACAATCAATAACATGAAGAGAGAGCCTAAAGAATGAGAGAAAATCTTTAGCACATGCACTTCAGATAGAGTACTAATCTCAAGGTTTTTGAGTTCTTTATATATCCTGAACAGAAAAAAAAAAAAAAAAATAACCCAGTCAATAAATGGGTTAAGGAACTGAACAGACACTTTACAAAAGAAAAAATACAATCAATCAACAAATACATGAAAAAATGTTCAACATCTCTAGCAATTAGAGAAATGCAAATTAAAACTACTCCAAGATTTCATCTCACTCCAGTCAGAATGGCAATTATCAAGAATACAAGCAACAATAAGTGTTGGTGAGGATGTGGGGAAGAAGGTACACTCACATATGCTGGTAGGACTGCAAATTGTGCAAGCATTAGGAAAGCAGTATGAATATTCCTTAGAAAACGTGGAATGGAACACTATTTGACCCAGCTATCCCACTCCTCTGTTTATACCCAAAGGACTTAAAATCAGCATAATACAGTGACATAATCACATCAATGTTTATATCAGCTCAACTCACAATTGCCAAATTATGGAACCAACCTAGATGCCTTTCAACAGATAAATGGATAAAGAAAATGTGGTGTGTATACACACATACACACACACACACACATAAAATGAAATATTACTCAGTCTTAAAGAATGAAATGATCGCATTTGCTGGTAAATGGATGGAGCTGGAGAATATCAGGCTAAGTGAAGTAAGCCAATCCCCCAAACCAAAGACAAAATGTTTTCTCTGATATGCAGCTGCTAATTCAGAATAAGGCAAGCAGGCAGCAACTAGGGAAGAGTAGAGTTACTTTGGATTAGGCAGAGGGGAGTGAAGGGAGGGGAGAGGATACAGGGGTAGGAAGGATAGGAGAATGAATCAGACATTATTACCCTGTATACATAAATGACTACACAACCAGTAGTGTGATTCTATATTGTGTACTATTAGAAGAATGAGAATTTATATTGAATTTATGTATGATATGTTAAAGTGCATTCTACTATCACATATAACTAATTAGAACACATTTTAAAAATGCCAAAAGAAAAAGAAAGTGTATATTTCCAAACTACTAGATTATTAGATGTGTTTTGAGATTGAGGCCTTGGATGCTCTTAAAATATCTTTTGTATTCTACTCTCTGTTGAACAAGGATATGAAACTTTTATGAAAAAAATACATTTAAGCTTTCAAAAGACTGATTTGGGATATGAAATGAGGCTATTAACTTCCACCTTCATTTACGAGTATTAGAAATAGCACTGTAGTAGAAAATGAATATACAATAAATTCAAGGAAGCTGCTGTTGCATGAATGAAAAGAGGAAAAAATTAACATATTATATATTATACAAAATCTTTATATATAATCTGTGTATATGTTCTATATATAAAATCTGTGTATATTATATATATATATAATAATATTACATAGATATATATATAAAATCTAAAAAAAATTACAGGTCAATACAATTTGGTGGTTGCTAACAATGCCTCTTAGTAAATTTACAAGCAAATAGTCCATTACTTATTTTTCTTCCCTTCATCAATATCATGGGAATTTATATTTTTATTAGTATATCTACTACATATTGGAATAAAATTTTATATAAGAATACCAAATAGTGACTAATAATATAGCAAAAACATTTTGATTAAAAATTTGCAAAATTACATCCATCTGTGCTCTATTATAGGTTAAAAAATATAACCTATAATAGAGATTATAGCTCTATGGCTGTGCTGGATGATTAGCAGAACAAAACCTGGGAGAAGAAAGCTTTTATCAACTTCACTCCGTGGCACCAAAATAGACCTGTCACCAATGGTACAGAATAGAGAACACAGAGTCTAACCCACAAAACTTCAGTTATCTTATATTAGACAAAGGTGCCAAAAACATACATTGGATAAAATATAGCCTCTTCAACAAATGGTGCTGGAAAACTGAAAATCCACATGTAACACGATGAAATTAAACCTCTATCTTTCACCATGCACAAAACTCAACTCAAGAGTGGATCAAGGACCTAGGAATTAAACCAGAGACCTTGCACCTAATGAAAAAAAAAAAGTAGACTCAAATCTCCATCATGTCCGTTTAGGCCCCAACTTTTATTTTTTTTTACTAGTTGCTCAAAACATTACAATGATCTTGACATATCATATATCATACATTTGATTCAAATGGGGTATGAATTCTTACTTTTCCCATGTGTACAAATGGCAGGATCACATTGGTTATACAGCCACGTTTATACATACTGCCATACTAGTGTCTGTTGTATTCTGCTGCCCTTCCTATCCTCTTCCTATCCCCCCTCCCCCCCTCCTTTCACCTTTCTCTACCCCATCTACTGTTACACATTTCTCTCTCTTTTTTTCCCTTCTCCCTCACATAATCTTATATGTAATTTTGCATAACAATGAGGGTCTCCTTCCATCTTCCGTGCAATTCCCCTTCTCTCTCCCATTCCCTCCCACCTCTCATCCCTGTTTAATGGTAATCTTCTTCTCATGCTCTTCCTCCCTGCTCTGTTTTGAGTCGCCTCCTTTATATCAAAGAAGACATTCGGCATTTGTTTTTTAGGGATTGGCTAACTTCACTTAGCATAATCTGCTATAATGCCATCCATTTCCCTGCAAATGACATGATTTTGTTATTTTTTAGTGCTGAGTAATATTCCATTGTGTATAAATGCCACATTTTTTTTATCCATTCATCTATTGAAGGGCATCTAGGTTGGTTCCACAGTCTAGCTATTGTGAATTGTGCTGCTATGAACATTGATGTAGCTGTATCCCTGTAGTATGCACTTTTTAGGTCTTTTGGAATAGTCTGAGAAGGAGAATAGCTGGGTCAAATGGTGGTTCCATTCCCAGCTTCCCAAGGAATCTCCATACTGCTTTCCAAATTGGCCACACCAATTTGCAGTCCCACCAGCAATGTACAAGTGTACCCTTTTCCCCACATCCTCCCCAGCACTTGTTGTTGTTGTTTGACTTCATAGTAGCTGCTATTCTTACTGGAATGAGATGGTATCTTAGAGTGGTTTTAATTTGCATTTCTCTGATTGCTAGAGATGGTGAGCATTTTTTCGTGTATTTGTTGAATGATTGTATATCCTTCTCTGAGAAGTGCCCAAATTTTTAAATAAAATTCCTGTAGCGCAAAAATTAAAACCAAGAAAAAATAAATGGGATTGATTCAAACTCAGAAGCTTCTTCTCAGCAAAAGAAACAATCATTGAGGTGAATACAGAGCCTACAGAATGGGAGCAAATCTTTACCACAAGCACATCAGAGCACTAATCTCTAGGATATATAAAGCACTAAAAAAAACCTTAACACCAAAATAACAAATAACCCAATCAATAAATGGGCCAAGGAACTGAAGAGACACTTCTCAGAAAAGGATATACAATCAATCAACAAACTTATGAAAAAAATGTTCAACATTTCTAGCAATTAAAGAAATGCAGGGGCTGGGGATGTGGCTCAAGTGGTAGCGCGCTCGCCTGACATGCGTGCGGCCCGGGTTCGATCCTCAGCACCACATACAAAGATGTTGTGTCCGCCGAAAACTAAAGAAATAAATACATTTAAAAAAAATTTTTTTTAAATAAAATAAAGAAATGCAAATCAAAACTGCTCCAAGATTTTGTCTCACTCCAGTCAGAATGGATTTATTAAGAATATAATCAACAATAAGTGTTGGCGAGGATGTGGGGGAAAAGGTACACTCATACATTGCTGGTGGGACCACAAATTAGTGCAGCCAATATGGAAAGCAGAATGGAGAATCCTTGGAAAACTGGGAATGGAACCACCATTTGACCCATCTATCCCACTCTTAGGTCTATACCTAAAGGACTTAAAAACAGCATACTACAGGGACACAGACACATTAATGTTTATAGCACCACAATTCACAATAGCTAAATTGTGGGACCAACTCGGATACCTTTCAGTAGATGAATGGATTGGGCAATTTTGGTATATATACACAATGGAACATTACTCAGCAATAAAAGACAATAAAATCATAGCATTTGCAGGTAAATGAAGTTAGAGAATATAATACTAAGTGAAGCAAGCCAACACCAAAAAAACCAAAAGCTGAATGTTTTCTTTGATATGAAGATACAGATGAATAATGGCAATTGGGGAAGGAGCAATTGGGGGAATGGAGAAACTTTAGATAGGGCAAAGGGGAAGGAAGGGGAAAGGAGGGGGCAATGGGGTAGGAATGATGTGGAATGAGTTCGACATCATTACCCTAAGTACATGTATAAGACATGAATGGTGTGAAAATATTCTGTGTACAATCAGTGTCTTGAAAATTGTGCTTTAAATGTATAATATGAAATGAATTGAATTCTGCCATCATGTATAACAAATCAGAATAAATTAAAAAAAAAAAAAAAATATATATATATATATATATATATATATATATATACACATTAAAAAATTCACTCCAATTATTGATTATACATATAAGGATTACATGTTTAGGGAAATGTGGGGCAGAGGGGAATTTATGGAAGAAAAGCTGAATGTAAGTGATTTACCTAGGAAAACCTTTATTTTCAGGTGAAGGGTCTTTTTCCAACCAGCTTTCATAAAGTGATTTACTCTCAAAACCATCATCTGGGCTAGACATCTAGAAAGATAATCAAATACTGGTGATTAAGAACAGAAACAACTAAATTTATTCCATTATAAAACTATATATTTGCTGGGCATGGTGGCACAAGCCCGTATTCCCAATGGCTTGGGAGTCTGAGGCAGGAGGATCGCAAGTTCAAAGCCATCCTCAGCAACTTAATAAGGCCCTATGCAACTCACGAAGACCTTGTCTCTAAATAAAATAACAAAATGGGGCTGGGGATGTGACTCAGTGGTTGAGTGCCCCTGGGTTCAATCCTCAGTACCAAGTCCTCAGGTTAGAAACAATCTGGGTTCCAGGCACAACGGTATTTCTACAGTTCTAGCTTCTGGGGAGGCTGAGACTGGTGGACTGCCCAAGCCCAGGAGTTCAAGACCAGCCAGGGCAAAATGGTGAGTCTGTGTCCTCTCTAGTTTTCAAAGTTTTTAGTTTTGATGGTCTTCTACTTTTATCATTGTCGCTGCCAAACTTCATCTTATGAGACCTGACAAAGTAACCACCCAATTTATATTTGTTGTATGAAAGGAGTTGCTGGGAAACACAATTTTTTGAACTCTGAGATTTTTCTGTAGCAGTTCAATGTTCTTTTCAGTGTAACAAAATGCTCTGTCAGATTAATATTGAGCCTACTATACATTATAAGTTAGGATACAATTAATAAGCACTATTATCAGAAAGAACAGACTGGAAATACTATCTTCACATTTATGTCACATAGTAAATTTCATATTAAAAGTTTTGTTTTTATTTGTCCTTTATATGAGTCAACCATGTTCTGTCACCAACTTAAAATTAAGTGCCACTAACTTAAGGGAAAAAAGTGTTATTCATGTATCCATTCATCAGAAAACATAATAAGACAGATCTTATATACCTCTTTTGTCAGTTTATACATCAACTGGTAAAGAAGGGGTGTACAGTCAACTCAGAGTATAATTGCCTGAAAAATAAATGAAACTACTATTTCATACTTCCAATGAAACTTCAATTGTGCTTAATTCTAACATTATTCTAAAATTTTAAATAAGATATAACAGTCTTTATATCAAATGCATCATTCCCATGGAATAAAAGAGGGTAGAATTTTCTCTCCAGGAATAGGAGAATCTGCCATACATATTTTGGGCTGAAAAAGGAGTAAATGGCCTTTGGTGTCTGAGGCAAGAGCTCCCACACAATTCAGACCTCATCCTTATGGCAGTATCTCTCTTAGGCAAAAGCAGGATACGGCTACAGAATTCCCTCTGTATTCACTCATTCATTTCAATATTACATATTAAGATATTAGAGTATGTATGTATGCTCTGACATTCATCTAGAAAAATTAAAATTCAACAAAAGACTAGGGACATACATATGTCAAATTCAAAAGGAAATAGTTTGTGCATATTCCAATAAATACAGGAAATATTCCTGTCTTTTTATACTTTTTAAGAAACTGTTTTAAAATAGGAAATATATCTGTATAAAATATTTCTGTATGAAATATTCCGTAGAATATTTTTACCAAAATTTATTTAATCTATCCATAGCAAAAATGTGGTTAATACTAGAGTTTAAGTAGTAGACCAAGATAGACAAATAAATATGGTAAATATAACAAAGAAACTAAGAGCAATAGGTTAGTTATGATTCCCAATAATTGATATGAATCATTATTTTCTCCATGGTAAAATAGAAAATTAAGTTATTACTGAGAAGTCTCATAGCAACAGAATATCTGAAATAGATAATAAGTTGGAATTTATAGACTTAAAGGACACATAATGCATAATAACCATACAGGAAAATTACTCTAAGTAAAATTTACTTTCTAAACATCTTACTTAAAAATGAAATAAAATTTACCTTCTATAGATGAATCTGAATTGATATAAGCAACACTTCTCTCCTGGAGTATTTTTACATTCTCCTATAGTTGAAGCAAAGTTGTTAATTCACAGTATTTACTATCATAAAAATATAAACAAAATAAGCACAATAGTTTTGTGGAAGAGTGATCTGCAAATATCTTTATAACAAAATACTTACACCTGCCTGTGACCATAGCTTCTGAGAAAATGTTGATAATTGGTTGTTTGAAAACATTATGCAATTAAAACAAGAAAGAAGATTACTATGAATCAGTATCTAATATATATACTAATAGCAGAGAGCCCCAAAGGAAAAGAAACATTTTCAATATGTGGTTCTTTGATTCCCTGAATCAACAGATGTAGGGATGAGGTTCCCAGATTCTGGGGACTCAGCCCCTATATACTAAATCAGAACTGCTCAATGTGAGGCCTGGAAATCTGTATCAACAGGTATCCCTGAGAATTAATCTTCACTCCTGTTGAGATTCACTAAGAGTGAATACCCATGTAAAGTTACCATTTTAAAAGCAAAAATAGAAAATTTTCATACTATGTTAATAAAAATATAAAGAAGTGAAAAATAAAAAAGAACAGAGGAAAAAAATGGTGGAAAGAAGGAGTGACAGGTTTGAACAAAAGTAATTCTGCCATATACACACACATACACAGAAGGGAACATGTTGAGAGAGCCCTTTACCTCTCTTTCAAGCTTTCTTCCTCATGAGAATAAGTTATAGTAAAAACATTTAAGGCGGTATGGCTAGGCCCAAATAACTGTCACCTCTTTGCTCTTGCCTACAAAGGCAAGATGATAGCTGCCTTTTCATTACATAGAAATGTACTCAGAGCTTCCACTACAACAGGTTTATAATGGAAATAAAGAAGATTTCTCATGTGTATTTATAAGTGTTAAGTATGCTGTTGAATATGATAAAGAGTCTGGTAATAAACTAGAACAAGTATTATTTCTTAATCGCTATTTATATAAGTTAATGCAAAACATATTAATCACTTTCTGTTGTAAATGTCTTTACTCTGAGCTTCTGAAATTAAAGAAACAGACATGTGTATTTATATATATATGTATCATAAGAAATTACATATTTCTAAAAATAAATTATCTTAATTAATATTTGATTCATCTAAAGTAATGTTCTTCCAACATGCCTTCAGAATACTAATGTAAAAATTAAAATCTACAACATGCATATGATCAACAAAGCATAAGTGATATCAGATAAGTATCTATGTGCATGATTGTATTCTCATGATTACTTGATTTGTATTATTTTTATAAATTTAAAATAATGCAAGAGGAAATGAGTCAAGAGGGAGGCATTTTTTTAAACTAAACACAATGCAAAACACATATGCATGCTTCATAAGAACTCTACACAATCTGGACTGACAAAAGTTAAATACAGGGTAGAAAGATAGCAAGTACTTTCACAGTGCACCTAAATTTATAAAAATGTATGAGCTCACCTCAAACACAGAAGAACTTAGAGATTACTCAATAGGGAGGCATAGGAAAGAAACAAAAGAAAGGAGCATATGACACTTAGAGAATTCAGAGCCAGTTATGAATGAAAATCAATCATCTCTCAAGGAAAAATGAACCTGTGAAACTACACAGTAAATTGATTTACTAAAGTAATCCAAGTTACAAAGTTATCATTTTATATATATCCTTTTACAACATATATATCTTTAGCAAATGGTATATATGTTATAAAAGGCAAAATGTAACTATGGTTGCTATTTTATGTGGAATTTGTAAATGTGAAATAATTATCAGAATATAATCATCTTAATTAAATAAACTTTCCCAGAAGACCTCCAAGGAAACTTTAAAAATTTGAAAATTAGTTTCAATTTACATGTAAAAAATGCTTCCTAATGTTGAAGTTACTGATTTTATTTTCACAAAACAAATGCAAATAGATTTGAGTAGATTTGTTTGTTGACTAAGAGGCTATTCTGTTTTGCCAAACTAATAAGAAAGTAAAAACAAATTCTATTTCTTAAATTCTCTCCAATCACTCTCCAAATTAAAACCATATAAAGTAATGGAGTCTAGCTGTGCTCATGCTGAGATATATATTTGTTCTTTGTTGATCAAAACAATAATAAGAACCTTGGCCATCTTATTTACCTCAGCCCATTCTGTAGAACCCAGCAGTCCAAATTCTTCTGCATCCCAACTGGCAAAAATGATAGTTCTCCTAGGTCTCCAGCCTGTAATCATTGTTAAAATACAGAGTTAGGTACACCTGCCTAGGAATAAAGGAAATATAAGGAAGTCACATTCTCTTATCACTTACCTCTTCTTATCAATTTTCCAAAACTCTGAGCAATTTCTTGCAAAACGGCTGTCCCAGTAGTTGGGTCAATACCTCCAAACACCCAAGAGTCACGGTGCCCTCCCAGAATAACATACCTGTCTGGAAAACAAAAGCTTTGAATACATTATAAATATCTGTAATGTATGTCTTTAAATTAAACTTCCTCCTGCTTGAGTTTCTCCCACAAAAAATAATCAGCAAAAAGTAAAACCTTTAGAGTTGTACAATTTTTCCCAAATTTAGTAGTTGCAAATAAGTCAGAAAAATATCAATTGATGTCTGAAATTTATATTTTCTTACACTTAATCTTTGAAAAAACTGCTAAAAGAACTTGATGACTCACCAGGTTCTACAGATCCTCTAATAGTTCCAATTACATTGTAAATCCTTGTAATTTTATTGGTGTTATGAGCTTGCATTCTAACTTTCCTAGAATTTTAAAAGGAATGAATTACCTCAAATATGGTATTATATTTACAGTTTTACAGTTTTCTTCCAACATTTTTTTTAGTTGTCAATGAACCTTTATTTTACTTAGATATGTGTGGTGCTGAGAATTGAACCCCGTGCTTCACCCATGCTAGGCAAGTGCTCTACTACTGAGCTACAATCCCAGCCCTTCTTCCAACATTTTATTATGAAAAATCACAAAACTACAGAAAATTATACAAGAATAAAAATATGTATATCAATCACCTAAATTCAACAATCTTTAATATTGAATGCTCTGTAAGGGAGTTGCTTTGTAAGGAAGTTGCAGACATTGTGACAATTTACACCTAAGTATTTAAGCATGCAATTTGAAGTCAGTTTTTCAAAACTACCTAATATTTATATTCTTCCTTCTCAGAGCTGTATTACGGATACTTATTTAGAATTCTAAGTAGTCTATTAAATATCTTGGGCATTTATTCAAAAAACTTTAAATACATCTTACTTTAAGTATTAAAACATTAATGAAGACATCCTATTATTAATTAATAAACAGAAGGAACATAAGCCTATTATTTGAACATTTACCTTTATAATCTATGATGGTGGTCCCATAAGATCATAATACACCTGAAAAATCCTTATTGTCTAGTAACATTATAGTTGCTGTAATGTCATAGCCTAACATAGTAGTCATACATTTGTGGAGATGCTGCTGTCCACTAACCTATTGCACTGCCAGCCATATAAAAGTGTAGCATGTGCAATTATGCATAGTACATAATATTATTTTTATCATTTCTTTATAGTGTATACCTTCTATTTATTAAAAGTAAGTTGGCTATAAAATACTATTCCATGTTACACTGGCAGAAGCCTCATAAATCTTGTGTTTAATGCAAATCAGCTAGGTTTGTCTAAGTACATTCTCTAATGTTCAAGCAATAATGAAATTGCTAATATGCATTTTTCAGAACATATTCTCATATCGAGTGATGCATGACTGTATTAATTATATTAATTCCTACTGTTCAATAACTTTCCTCAAGACTATGAAAGTAATCCCTAGGTACACAGTTAAAGAACTGCCTGAGTGCTGCCTGTGAGAACCATGATAAATTCTGTTAAATGACAACTTGAGAAGCTCCTGCTAAAATGCACAATTACATAATAAAAAATTTTCAGACTCTCATTGTTGATTCTGATTTTAAATAGTCATTCATGAATATAAACTAACCAAATTAGAAAAAAATCGAAAGTACAATCAAGCTCTGCCAGATAGGAAAAAAGAAAAGTTTCATGAATCCAGAATGACATGGGAAAATGTTGAGCCATTTTTTCACAAGAGAACATAATAAGCCTGTATTTATTTGGGGGATGGAGGCACCAGTTGGTTTCAATTTGTGATTATTTCTAAATGGAAGAACAATGAAGCTGTCAAAACCTGTATATTGTGTCCCACCAAATTACAGTGTGTTTCAGAATACACAATTAATCTACATGCAGCATTCAACTAAAAGTACCATGGAGAGAAAACTATTCAATGGTTTTTACATTTTAAGGCATTAAGTAAATTATTTTTGCTACTGAGAGAAAAAAATTCATAACACAGCTGGGGTGCAGCTCAATGGTACAGCATTGCTTAGTATGAGCAAGTTCCTGGGTTCAATAACCAGCATCAAAAATGATAATGAGGATGATGATTATGATAATATATAAATACAGAAATATTGTTTAGCATGTTTCTAAAAATATGATCCTAAAATATATGACTAGTAAGAAGCTAAAATTTATTGATATTATGTCATTAAAATAGGAAAATTAAGAGTTAATGTAACAAATGAGAACTGAAGAAAAATGTTAGTCCAAACATAAAAACAAACATAGAGCATCTGCTCAGACTCTCAAAGAATCTCATTTAAGCCTTAATCTTTACATCTTTTTTATTTTTAGTATTTTTGACTTCCAGAGTTATTCAAATGAATATCTGTGAGCCAGGTGTGGTGGCACACCCTTGTAATCCCACCAGCCTTAGCAACTATTGAGGCCCTAAGCAACTGAGCAAGACTAAGTCTCAAAATAAAAACTTAAAAGGGCTCAGGATGTAGCTGGTTTCAATTCCCAGTACAAAAAAAAAAAAAAAAAATCTGCATGTTTATCCTATCATCACTGCAAACTCAATGCATCCCAAACAAACTGATCTCTGGGATGTAGGCTCCATAGAATAGGGCTGTTTGCCTCCTTTGTTCACTTCTGAACCCCAAGATCCCAGAATGGCACCTGGAGTTTAGTAAATGTTCAATAATATTTGTGAAATGAATGAATATACTCCTGTACGGGAAAATTGGGAAAGATGCTATATCACTCGTAATGAATTCCTCTCATTTATTATCTTCAACTAGACTATTTTACAACTCTGTACCACAAATAATTCATGTCCAATGAATTGGTATCTAGTGAAGTTTCATCTGAATCCTCCCTTATTATGAAATACGCCAGCTTTCCTACTGTTAAATATATTAATTACTCTTGATTAAATCTGACATTCCTGATGAACTGATATATTTTGGTATTATCTGTAAGTTCTTCTTTGAATCCATTCTTTCTTTTGGAAGGGTACCAGGAATTGAACTCAGGGACACTTAACCACTGAGCCACATCCCTACTATTCTTTGTATTTTATTTAGAAACAGGGTCTCACTGAGTTACTTAAGGCACCAAGTTGTAGAGGCTAGCTTTGAACTCAAAATCCTCCTGCCTCAGTCTCCAGAACCTCTGGAATTAGAGGTGTGCACTGCCATGTCCACGTGAACCCATTCTTTTTTTAATTTATTCCAGTACTGGGGACTGTACCTGTGGCCTTGGGCATGCTAGGCAAGTTCTCTACCACTGAACTATCTACTTGGCCTTTTGAACCATTTTTAACATAATTCTGTATTTTTTTATTAACTAAAGTTAAATGAAATCTGTAATACATGTTCATTTACATCCATCTAATAATCAGTTTTTAAATTATCCTTCATTATTTTAGAGGTCCCTTTGAAACAAACTGTAGATTCATCTTGAAAAACAGATGTAGTCAGTTGAAACTCATTCTTCATATTTTCTATGGCTCTCCCAACTTTGCTGACATGCCATATGTCTAGTTTTACTTTTTTCCTTACTGGTTTTGTGTTTCGTTTATGTTTCCTCTTTGCTTAGATCAGAATAAGTTATTATTCACTGGTAGCAGCAATGATTAGAAATCTCACTTTATGTGTTATCGTTTGGTTATCTAAGTGAATCAATGAATTCTGAAGATCTCTGTGGTAGGATAGGAAAGAATCTAGTTTTTAGGAATTTTTAACATTGTTCATTGTGCATTGTAAACTCAAATCCATCAAAAATTATGTATCCACAGTGGAGAACAGTGTATTTGATATCTAGACCTGGGATTTCTTATGTTTTTGAGTTTACTCTTGAACTATGACTGAAATTATAGAACTGAACTTATGTTTTGTGTCTATATACTCTGGTTTGTAAATCAGATAGATTTTTACTTTTTGTTATATTATGTGTTTTTTTTTCCCTTCAGAAGACATAAATAAACTAAATAGTCTCTTAAATTAAAGGAACTCTATAGTGATTGGTTATAGAGATTAAAAACACAGAAACTGAATGCTTCTGAAGTTCCTATCAAGGAAGGAAGTTGAATTTAACCTAGTACTTTAACCTTTCTGAAATAAAAAGAATTTCAAAAACTGAAAAACATTCTATCACACTGGGCATGGTGGTGCACTCCTATAATCCCAGTGACTCTGGAGGCTGACACAGGAGGACTGGGAATTCAAAGCCAGCCTCAGATACTTAGCAAGGTCCTAAGCAACTTAGTGAGGCCCTGTCTCAAAAATTAAAAAATAAAAAGAGTTGGTGATGAGACTTGGTGGGGTGGTTAAGTGCCCCTGGGTAGAATCCCTGGTACCAAACCAAACCAAACAAAACAAAAAACAAAAAAAGCAAGCTATGGCATTTCTGATTTATCAGTGACATTTCCCTCTCCTGAAACATTTTAAGTGAATCAAACTTCTTAGTTCTAATCATACAGGGTCATTCCACAAACTCTCTTAAAGTTCACACAGTAGCTAGCATTTCCTGCCTGCCTTGAGCCATTTGGAAATTTTTATTCTTTCTGTAGATCTAACCCAACAGATACATTCCACAACACTCCTCCTCTAGAATGATGCTTTCATGTGTTCAAAACAATGAGTCTATTCAGCTTTATAGTATGATCTATTCATTTAAACTCACTTAATACACAGGAAATAACCAATAATTGTTGGCTCCTTTCTCTGTTCTCCAATATTCCCTCCTTTAACATAACCTAATGTTTCATATACATATATAACATTCTGAAAGTTATTGGAAAAACATTTTTTTTAAACTTTAGGTGAAAGGAAAGTTTAAAAATTATTACTTGAAATGTTAAGTCTATAATTCAAATACAGTAATTGATGAAATTCTGAAACTAATGCTGAAATATTACTATAAAAATTCATTGATTCATGGTGCTAGGGATGTGGCTCAGTCATAGAGTGCTTGCCTTGCATGTGTGAATCCCTTGGTTCAATCCCCAGCTCGCCAGGAGGGAAAAAAAAAGGAATTCAATGGTTCATTCTGTAAATTCTTCTTAAGTGATATAAAATGATAAATTTTTCACTAGTGACAATAAGAAAAAGATATAAGCAAAATATGCCTGGTGGAACAGTTATCTTCACATTTCCATTGAAATATAAAACTTTTCCAAGTTATTAAAGTAATATAAAATTACCTGAAAGACTCATTCCCTGTAAAGCCAGGTCCTACATTGTAACTCACATTAAGAGCTCCCTTCCAGTTCTTATCTGGTGGAGCAGTTCCTCTCAAGTGGCTGTCAAGAGAGAATGAGATGACAGAAAAAGGCTGAGTATCACCATTTCCATGAAAAAAAAAAATCAAGAAGTTCATGCTGAGGTAATATTTAACTCTACAACTAAGAATTATTTATTGACCAACTTGTTCATACCCCTTTTATTCTATATTCTGAGGAGATTTTATTCTAATGAGAGAGCCATAACTGGAGCAAATAAAATATATAATATTTTGATGCTAAGAGCTGAGGAGGAAAAACATATAATAGTGAAGGCAGATGGGAAGCAAAAGTCTCCTCACCCTTGATCTTACTTCTGTGGGGAAACAGTGAGTGTAAGATATCCAACATTAGGAAATTCATAACTGGGTTAGGAAGAAATGAATTTTAAAGAAGCTGTCAACTATGTAGTGTGTACCCATAAAGAAATCATGAAGTTGTTCTGGCAGAAACATTTAAACAATGGGTTGGGAGATACAAAGAAACTTCAATTACAGAATACAGTATGAGCAAACATTAATTGGTGTTTACTATATTCTAGACACTATGCTAACTAGTATAAATTAGTGACAACCCCATCAGGGAGAAAATTTACTGTCCTTGTTTTATAAATAAGCAAACTGAATCAGAGAAGAATCAATTGGTCCAAGATCATACATCTACTAAGTGGTAAGCATGATCGTATTTCTAAACTACAGGTTGGGTATAAATAAGTATTTATTGAATATCTAAGTAAATTCAAATACCTAAAAACAAATCTCAAACCAGTATCAATTTTTATCTTTAAACATACCTTTGCATTTGAGAATTTCATTTAGAGCTACCAGAGTAATGTTTTATTATTTCCTAGTCACTAAACTGACTGCTCCTGTTATGGAATAGAAGTGTGTTCTATCATTCCTACTTCAGGAATTATTTTGATACAAGACTTTACTTTTAACACAATTGGGTTTTATTGGTTTTAGATGAGAAAATGACAAAATGTCTTCCTCTCATATCCAACTAAAAAAACTATATACCATAGTAATATTTCTGCATCATTATGTCCAATAGGATGTACAGGTATTTTCGGGATTCCAACTCCTTCTTCAATATTTAGTCTGAAAGTATAATCTGCAAAATCAAGTACATAAATGAAAACAATTGAAGAATCTGAGCAAAAGCTATGTAGGAAATATTTGTATTATTATTATAGCTTTGCTTGCTATACACATTGTGTTTTTCAGTACTGGGAATTGAACCCAGAGCTTCACCCATGGTAGGTCAGCCCTCTACCACTGAGCTATATCCTCAATATTTTTCTCATTTTATTTTCAGACAGGGTCTACCTATGTTTCCCAGATTAGCATCAAACTTTTAATCCTCCTGAGTAATTGGGATTATAGGCATGAACCAACATGTCCAGCCAATTTTGCTAGACATTTGCAATTATATAAAAATTAAAGTCCCCCCGAAACCAAGCTATTGTTTTATTATGGCCTATTAGATTCAACAGTAAGAATTAAGTTGTTTACATTTTAAGATAAAACTAATTGTAGGGTTTATAGATTCTCGATTTTGTTTTGACATTTCACCTAATTCTCTTTAACTTACAAGAATTTTCTTTAATTTCCTGAAGGATATTTTGAATCCTTCTTTGAGAAGTTTCAGTTAACTAGATGCCTAGAAAATGTATCTCAGATTCTAAAACTACAATTATTGGGAAAAATTGAATTCATAAGGTCTTGGGAAATAAGAACAAATATTTTATTCAAACAGTAATGCATTATTCTCTTCAAAGAAAGACAGAAAACTATTGAACGCCTTAAAACCATGTAAGAACTTTTGGCTTTCAGCCAAGATTGAAGAAATGTTTCAAACAATGTAAAAATGACAAAATAGATGAAATGATTGTTTTGCCAAACAACTATTTCTTATTAGATATAGTAATTGAGTATTGAAACAAAAAGTTTAAGAATATATCTAGAAATTCAGTAAATATATAACTTAAATAGAAGTATCTATCTATTAACTTGGCCAAACTTACATTTATAGAATACTGTATTCCATTTTTTATAATACATATGAAATATGTGTTGGATACACTACATTTTGGACCATAAAACACATCTCAGTATCCATAAAAATCATAAAAGTTATATTCTCCGACCACAGTGAAATTAGAAACCAACATTAGAGAGATACTTGGGAAAACCCTGAATATTTGAAAACTAAATAACATAATAACAAATAATCTATGGGTTAAAGTAGAAATGCAAACTAACATGATAAACTATTTTGAACTGAATAAATAAAAACGGTATATCAAAAGTTGTACAAGACAGAGCAGTGCTTAGTAGAATAATAGCACTAAAACACCTATCTTAGGGAAAGGACAGGTTTCAAACAAATGAAATCAGATTCCAACTTAAAAGTTTAGAAAAAGAAGAAAAAATTAAAGTTAAAACAATAGGAGAAAGGAAAAAAAAATTGGAATAAATCTAAAAATATATGAATCAAACACAAAATAATAGAGATTAAAAAATGACACTGAAAGCTGGTTCTTTGATAAGATCAATAAAACTAATCAATCTCTAATAAGACAGATAATGAACAAAAGGGGAAACATAAATTGTTAAATAAAAAATACAGGAGAAAATATCATTATGGTCTTAGTAGACAAAGTTTAAAAAAATAATATGAGTATTATGAAAAAATTCTACACTCTTAATTGTCTGACAAATTCAATAAACAAAATCCCTGAAATGAATTACCAAATTTCATTCAGGACAAGATAGATAACCCGAACAGTCTTATGCCTACTAAAGAAATTCAACTGGTAGTTAAAACAGAAACAATTTCTACAAATAAACTTCAGGTCCAGAGGAATTATGGGCAAATTCTATCCCAATCTCTATAGACAAAATTTAACCAATTCTATATAAATTCACACAGAAAAATAAGGAAAATGTAAGTGTCCCATCCCAGAATGGCACAATAATATTACAAAAACATTCACAGACCACTTTACAATATGACCATAAATAAAGTATTCTTAAGAAAAGTTTAGCACACATGAAATAAAATAGAAAAAATCAAAATAAATTGTGACCAACTACTTTATTACAGCATGGTATTGGATTAGCATAAAAATATCTGTATGGATTCAATGAAAGCATTAATAACATAGGGTTGCTCAATATACAAAGAAAAAGCATTTTAAAAAACCCAATATAGGTTACTGACAAAAACGTTAAGCACATAGAAATGACCTCCCTCAGTTCAACAAAAACAATTCATTAAAACCTAGAGCTAATGTCATATCAAACAGAGAGTTGACTATCATGGTACATACTTGTAATCCCAGTTACTTGGGATGCTGAGACAGGAGAAAAGAAATTTTGAGGCCAGCCTAGGCAATTTAGCAAAACCCTGTCTCAAACTAAAATTTTATAAAAGAACTCAGCGTGGAGCTTAGTGGTAGAGTGCCTGCCTGGTATGTGAGAGCATCTAAATTCAATCCCCAAAATACTCTGCTACCAGAGAAAGACTGAATGTGTTCCTATAGAACAAAAACAAAGCAAGGATGTCTGCTCTAACAACTGTGTTCCACATTGTAATGAAAGTACTTACTGGCCAGTACAATAAGGCGAGAAAAAGAAATGACACATATAAAAATTAGAAACAAAAAACTGTATTTATTTGCAAATAATATAATCATCTATGTAAATATGCTAATGGATTCTAAAAACCTTAAAAATAATTAGTGAATTTAACAAGTTTGCAAGGTAAAGGGTGAAGTTATTTTTTTCTAGAAATACAATAGCATTACTGTATATTGGTAATGAGCAATAGGACTTGAGATTTAATGTAATTTACAATAGTACAAAATTATGAAATGCTTATGAATAAAAGATGTGCATGATCCATACAGTGTAACTATAAAACATTGCTGAGAGAAATTAACTAATAGAGAGTTGTACTTTTTTCATATACCAAAAGATTCAAACATTTTAAGATGTCAAATCTCCTCAAATTGATCTACAGATTTCCGTTAAACTCACAGAAAAAAAAAAAAAAAGTCTGTGGGATTCCCAGCTCTAAAATTCACATGGAAAGGACCAAGATGTGACAATAACTTTACAAAACAAGAGTTGTAACTTAGAGGACTTACTTAAAATCCAGAATTAAAAGCCACTGCCACATAACTACTGGCAAGGATATAGGAACTGGATTATTAGGTGGAATACAAAGTAGAGCAGTCTTTTTGGAAAACCAATTTGAAAATTTCTTTATAAGTTAAATATCAATCTTCGGTCTTATTCATCCATTCTTCTTCTAAGTATTTACCAAAGAGAAATAAATGTATACACACTGACACTTACTTGTAAACTTGTTCGTAGCACTTTTATATGTAAAAGTTTCTAAAATGAAACAATCCAAATGTCCCTCAACAAGTAAATGGATAAACCAACTCTGGTATAGCCAGTCAATGCAATATTAGTCAGAAACAAACTATGACAGAAATGCCAACATGGATGGATCTCAAAATAATTATGCTGAGAAAAAACAGAACAATGGTTGCCTAGGCATTGGTATTGAGAAGGCAAGAAGAGTAGACAGAGAAAGGAAGAGTTTTAGGGGTAATGAATTTGTAAAGATGGCTTTACAGGGCTGGGGATGTGGCTCAAGCGGTAACGCGCTCACCTGGCATGCACGCGGCCTGGGTTCGATCCTCAGCACCACATACAAACAAAGATGTTGTGTCCTCCAATAAATAAAAAATAAATATTAAAAAAATTCTCTCTCTCTCTTCTCTCTCTTTAAAAAAAAAGATGGCTTTATACATGTCAAAACTTCAAACTTTACATTTAAAATAACACTAATAAAAAAACCTCATTGGTATTTTTAAAATACAAGTGAGTGACCTAAAGAAGCATACAATCCTAGATAACTTAGAAAATGTAAATCCTAGTTTGTTAAGAGCAATATTACTTTGGGTATGAGGAGCAACATTTCTGAAACCCTTGTCTAGTAAGGGTAAAAGGAGAATACCAACTGAATATTCCCTTCCCATGCCTACATGTCATGAGAATTCAAACTAAAAAATAATGCAAAGGCCAAGTGCAATGGCACTCACCTGTAATTCTAGTAACTCAGAAGGCTGAGGCAGTAGGAGTGCAAGTTTGAGGTCAGTATCACCAATTTAGGCCTTAATTAACTTATTGGGACCTCATGTCAAAATAAAAAGATGTGGGAATGTAGCTCAGCAATTGAGTGCCCAGGGTTCAATTTCTAGCACCAAATACATTCACACATACATACATACATATATACTACAAAGGCAATTATTTTGAATTCCTAATATTAATAATCCAAAATTACATAATGTATACATTTTTTAGTTATTTTAATGTTATTCTACAGATGCTTGCTTTTTTCCCCATCTAAAACAGCAAGGAATCTTTTTGAAAAAATGGTACACTGACAGGCTCATAGGCTCATCCATTACCTTTAGCTGGATAGCCTGGAGTGAGAGGGTCACCAGCACCATTCAAATTTAACACATTTCCTCTCTGCACTGCATTTCCAGGAAGGTTCCAGCCTTTGGGATATGGCTGTACCCCAGGGGCAAAGTAGTCAGCTGGATCTGAGTACAAGATGATTTCTATGGCTCCTGCTAACATGACATTTTTAACCTGTGTGAGGAAGGTACAGAAATGGCAAATTACTATTTATATAAAAAAAATCATAATGTAAGGAAATTTAGACATTGCACTTGATTATGCCATTACCTATTTAGTTCTCTTTGCTTTGAAGACAGTTCCCCTCTTTGTAGGCCTCACATTTGTGAAATATTCTATGGTTTCCAAACCTGAAAAATTAAAGTCTCCTTTCTTCTATGGATTTATTCTTTGTATATATATTTATTGTAGGGCAGATCATAGTGTATTAAAATGTCTTTTAAATATCTGTCTTCTCTACTAGACTGAGGATATTATTGAGAAAATACATCATGTCTTAATTTTAAATACCCACCCTCCAAAATCTCACACATCATAGAGTAAGCACTTTACAAATATTGGTTTAATTAAACTGACATAAAATTTTATGCAAAACAGTCATAGTGTATGAAGAACTTATCAGCCTGTTTTTCAAAAATATTTTCAACAATGTAAATTGACCAACAATATGAAAATCTACTGTTTTATTCAGATTTTTTGCAGCTGTGACTAAAGGATTTGACCAGAACAACCTTAAGGAGGAAAAGTGTATTTGAGCACTCACAGTTTCAGAGGTCTTAGTACAGAGAAGGCTAGCTCTTGTCCTTGGGCTTGAGGTGAGGCAGAACATCATGATGGAGTGTGTGGCAGAGGGAAGCAGCTCGCATCATGGTGGTCAACAAGCAGAGAGAGAAACCCCAGCTCCAGATACAAAATATATATACTATAGCCACACCCCCAATTAACCACTTCCTCTAGCCACACCCCACCTGCCTGTAGTTACCACTCAATTAAATCTAATTAATTTGCTGATTGGGTTAAGACCTTCATAATCCAGTCACTACTCCTCTGAAACTTCTTGCATTGTCTCACAGGTGAGCTTTTGGGAGACACTTCATATCCAAACCATAACATCTACCCTGCGAGGTACTAAATCTTTCATCAGCAAAAGTATTATAGCAAAAGATGTAACTATCAGTCTTGATTAACTAAAAGAGATCCCAACATTCAGAAATCATTTTGCTGTTATCAGTGAAAATATAATCTGTCACAATTTGGGGGAAGGACTGTTATCATTATGCCTGTCAAAATGCTGTCCGAAGCTACACTATTATTTAGCCACTCCATATCCAAGAATCTATACTATAAAATGTTCATACAGATGTTTGAAGTGTATATGGACAAGAATGTTCACAATAGAATTATTTGTACTAGTAATCAATTCAAGATAAGCACTCGCTAACAAAGAAATGGTTGAATACACTGCTTTTCATTCCTACAAAATATTATGTTACCACTTAAATTAGTGAGATATTTATTAAGATATAGAAATTACTAAAACCAGCTATTACCCTAAGTGCTTTAAAACATAAAGTCAGTTAGGCCTAGTGTGGCAGAGGGAAGCAGCTCTCATCATGGTGGTCAACAAGCAGAGAAACTCCAGCTCCAGATACAAAATATATATCCTATAGCCACACCCCCAATTAAACACTTCCTTAAATTAGTGAGATATTTATTAATTTATTTGCAGCACATGCAAAGCAAGAATTCTACCACTGAGCTAGTAAGAAGATTATTGTGAAACAATCTGAGTTTCACTTTGAGATTGTTGGTATAATTAGCATTCCCATTTTATATATGAGGAAATGTTGGCACAGAGAGGTTAAGGATCTTGCTCACAATAAAAGAGCAGGGGCCCAGAGGAGAGCAGACCCAGGTGGTAAGGATCCATGGACTATACTCTTAAAGACTATGTTACATGACTTTCCGTGTAATGATATGAAAGAATATCCAAGTCATGGCTGAGTGAAATTATAAAGCTATCCAAGATACAGTGGATAATGACCTGTGTTTAATAAATACTAATTAGATCTATATGTATTCTCATATATTATAATATATATTACTGATGTTATATAATATACTATATATTAAATATAACTACATCCATATATATGTGTGTATAGTAAATATATAGAGGTATGTTTATATATCACAGAATTAGGTTTGGAAAAGCTAGTAAGATTGATTATGTCTAGCCAACGAAGTTGAATAATGCAAGGGAGATTTTTATTTTTTAGTTTGTATGCATTTCTTCAATTAATTTTTTAAAAGATATTATTCTAATAAAACTCTTTTCCTTTATGGACATATGAGGTGAATAAAAAATAAAATTTTCTGTGTACCCATGGCAAGTAGAAAAGAAATTTCAAAGCAATTTTGGAAACCATGAGGCAAGCTGATCATTTACATCCACAGTATCTGTCCCCGTTCCTTCCCTCTAGAAAAGCTCCACCATACTTTATTTCCTCTGAAGATCTTCCCATATCTTGCAATAACAATCTTTCCAGTGCAGTTAATATTCATCTCTCTTTCTAGTTTGAAAAAGTCTTCAGTATGAGCATAGTTCACACATACGAGATCTCCCTACAGAAAAAAGAAGAAAAAAATACCACTGCTAAAATTAAAGAAAAAAATTTTAAAATAAATGTGTTTCACAAAACTGCATCAGCAGAAGGTTTTTGTTTTGTTTTGTTTTTTTCTTTTTTTGTTTTCTTAATTTTTTTCTATACTGGAGATTGAACCCAGGGTCCTGCAGCATATGCAAAGCAAGAATTCTATCACTGAGCTACATCCTCAGTCCTTTTCTTTCCTTATTTGGGATTAATAAATATGCTATTCTATAGAATATTTTAGAGAAACTATCAAAATACTGAAAAGATTGGAGAAAAGGCAATCAGTAAGACATATTTTAAGTAGTGTGGTTTCTTTTGAAGAGATTATCAATGTGTACAGAGTCATAAGAACTAGAGTAAATGTCATTTAAAACATTTACAACTATGTTTAATTTCCAAAATAACATTAATTTAACTGCTCATATGGTATGTAAATTCAGATTAAAAACAATGGAAATCAATTTATAAAAACATCTATTGCCCTTACTGAATTAAAATCATCTTCAGAAGTTTCTTTGTTATTGCAAAGAGTGGCCTCTGCCTTACTGGGGTCTGTGTTTAATGTATTTGTTTTCTTTTTTGTTTTAGGTAGTCTTTTTTTAATTATTATTTTTATTTTGGGGGGCTTGCATAGTACTGAACATAAAACAATGGGTGAGTATGTCTAATCTCCAGGTAAATTCCTTGGTTTTATTCCTCTACATAGTTTTTATACAATAAAGAAAGTTTTAAAAACTTGAATTAAAAATAATAGAAATAAATAAAACTTGAATTAAAAAATGTTTTACTTTACCTCTGGCATGCCTTGGGCTGAGAAAGCATTATAGGGAGGTACAATATTTGTCACATTCTCATATCCATCTGGAGGTGGTTCAAGATATGATGTTTTGAATACCCAGCAAGAAGTAAAGCATGTCAAGCTAGAAGAATAATTCCAGGTTATTATTAAGATATAATTAATTTTTTCCAAGTATAGACTTAATAAGCATCCTAGATTCCATAATTAAGTAGGTAAATTCTACTGACAATAAGAAAGAGCTCTATTATTACTATTCTTTTCAAAATAATAAAAACTTTTATAAATGCATGTAGTCCCAGACAATTAAAAGCTACCATACAGTGTAAAATGACATCAAAGTTGGACACGGTGTCATGTGCCTGGAATCCTAGCATTCAGAAGGATGCTACAGGAGGACCACTTGAGTCCAGGAATTTGAGACCAAACTGGACAACATAGCAAGACTTCATCTCAACAAAACCGAAAAGAACAGGACTTCAAAGGCAGCACTCTTGGTTGGCGATGTGGTTCAGCGGTAGAGTGCTCATCTATCAAGTGTGAGCCCCTGGTTTCCGTCCCAAGCATGAAAAAAAAAATTGCTAACAAAGGTAGTATACTTGTGATTTTCATTTCATGACTATTCCTTTCAGCCTCCTTTGTGGTCCCTTTTTCTTTCATTTTTATTTGAATGTTACACATATTTTATCCCTAGCCCACCACTTGCCTTATTTTATATTCTCTCTCTGTGAGAGTTCATTGACTAACAAAATTTTGCGAACAGCTGATGTGCTTATGTTGTCCAGACTCATATATTAAGAGCCCAAATAGTCACTTAGCTTTAATATCTAAACACAATAAGTTAAAATTTGAAGTTATGTTCTCCCATCTGTAGCCGGTTCCTGGCTCCGCATCCTCTACTTCCATTAATAGCCTCACTAAGTTAGTCACCCACATCCTACAGTCTAGCAGTTATCCTGAACACTCTACACTTCTTTCCTCCAAGACACTAAACAGGTCCTGTATACTTCCTGTTTCTCAAAATCATCATTCTTTCTCACCTGCTAACATGCTAATTCAGGATTTCATCATCTTTCATCTGAACTACTGTCTTTAAATTTTAACTCTAACTCCTTGCCTAGTCTAGGTGTAATCTGCAGACTCCCCCATCTATGTAAAACAGATAGAATTTTATGGTCACATCCTTCCCATGCTTAGGACTTGCTTTTGTTCATGAGGATCACTCAAGACTATCTTCTCTGTGAAGCTTGCCCCGTCTATATCATTAAATGAAAGCTGCAAATACAGATGCTTAATAACTTAAATATTTCACTGGTCTACCTCTTCCATTGGTCAGCTTGTATTTTACAGTCTTGGAATACATAAAAATCTTAAATTCTACCAATAATACTAAGATAGTATGTTTTCAAGCCTTTGCAATATTTTCTTCCAGCTAGAATTTTCTTACCTTACTTTTTCATATTGTTCATCTCTTGTGCTCCTTCATGACTTATATGTCAACTTATATAGGAAGACTTCTCTAACTCCCAGTGTGGGGGCTAGTTCTTGGGTGTGGGGGTGGGGTGAATGACCCATTTCTGTATAGATAAAGACCCTTTATCATACCATTCATGTCACTTACTATACTGATTTGAAACCCTGTATCCTATTGTCTGCCTCACCTTATTTAAGCAAAGGACCCATGTCCTAATCTTCATTCTGGCCTGAAGATCTAGCTTAGCATCATGCCTAACACATACCAGACACTGACTAGTTTACAACTTATTAACTTTTCTATATAATGTGAGTTCTACACACTATTAACAAATTTATATTTTTACTGGACCTTATATTCTAATCCATACAAAGTGTGGCATAATTATATGAAAAGAACCAACAATTCTCTATCACCTCAATTCCATGTCCATCCACAATCGATATGCAGTTAGCATTTGTCTCATTAGGGTAAGAGAGGAGAACATCATAATGAGCCAAGTCGGCTGAATCTAGTCCAAATTTCTTCCATTGGGCTTGAATTTTTTTGGCAAGTAGTAAATTTTCTTCTGTTCCTGCCAGATGAGGAAGTTTTGTGAAAGAACTAAAATGAGAAAAAAGAAAACAATGAACAAACAAAAAACAAGTGTGAGTTAAAGAGCACATTCAGCTTCTGTGCCTAAGAAATCTTCTACATGCATTACACATCTTTTACACATTAAGTTATGAATTATATGTCAAAAATACTAAATGGCACAGCTAGAAATAACAATTTATATATATGCCAATTTTTAAATTACTTATGTACAACTACAATTTTCATAATATTCTCCCTCAGAAAAGAATGCATTCCTTGGTAAAGACAATCAGAACAGATATGAGAAGACACCCTAAAAGAAAGTTATACTGCTATACTAATGGTGCTCCTCCTTGCTGGTGGCTACTTGTTCAGTAGATAGAGGACATTTGGGAAGAAATAATTTCAGTGTTTTCCAGGGACCAGTCAGGCACTTGTACACTTGACTTAACTATTTCTACTATTGATTATGTCAATATAGTTGCTTGTTTATCTCACTAAGGTTAAGGTCTGTATATTTTGATATTTAAAATTCCCAGGGCTTAGCACTTGTCAGGTACCATGGAAATAATGACTGATCGAACTGAGTTTAGGCAATGCCACCTTGGTTCTGGGTGTAAATGAGTTATAGCAATTAAATGAACTCACAAATATACTTCTTACTGAGACACATTTTGCTTTAGGTGAATAATGTTTTAAAGTTTCTCAACTTGGGGCTGGGGATGTGGCTCAAGCGGTGGCGCGCTCGCCTGGCATGCGTGCGGCCCGGGTTCGATCCTCAGCACCACATACAAACAAAGATGTTGTGTCCGCCAAAAACTAAACAATAAATATTAAAAAAAATATTCTCTCTCTCTCTCTCTCTCTCTCTCTCTCTCTCTCTCTCTCTCTTTAAAAAAATAAAAAAATAAAAAAAAATAAAGTTTCTCAACCATCCTACTTCCCACCTCTGTCAGATGAACAATAATATAAACTTTTATAAAATATTTTTAAGTTAAGCAGAGGACAACCAAAAAATATATGGCAATAAAGGTCAATTAATATTTATTGAAAACTTTCGACATGCTAAGGACCCCACTGGCACTTTCACGTGTGTTATCTCATTTAATCCTTACAACCTTCTATCTTTGTCCCCATTTTACACAAAAGTAACTGAAAAAAAATGGTTGAATAGCTTCTTTATAATTGCATAGCTAATAAGTGCTGGAGAAAGAAGCTGAAATTATACTTGTCTGAGTTTGAGAAATGGTGATATTTCACTATATATCACCTAATCTTATTACCCAACTGCTTACATCCTTGTATAGCTCCCTACATTCTGCATTATCAAAGTCACACTGCAATGTGGCATAGGAAGCCCATTGGTGTCTGTCCCATATTTTCAACTTCATTTCCTCCCACTCTCTTTATTAACTGCTCTGGTCTATGTCATTGAGCATACTTCTTTTCTCCCTGAAATGATTGCTTTTTTCTCTCATACCCTTTAGTCTTCACACAAGGTCTTGTCTCAGACATGAATATTGTCTCATCTACTGAATCTCTCTCCATCACCTTTCCCACCTGCAAACTGTTAATGGTTCATGAGGATACCTCAAGACTATCTTCTCTGTGAAGCCCTCTCTATATCATTAAATGAAAGCTGCAAATACAGATGCTTACTTAATAACAAATATTTGTTTTAAAAAGTATAAATGTGTTTAGACAGAAGTAATTTTTTATACATGGGGAAACAATGAGTCTGAGATATTTAATTTTTACTTTACATAATATATTTTCATTTTCTTTTCTGTAATGAGCAGATACTATCTTACAATTAAGGAAAAATAAATGTATTTTCTTAAATTAAGATGTTGGATTAACCATAAGCTTTTGCCTTTCATCTTTTAGAGAACCCACTGAAATGAAATAGAGAAATGAAAAAAAAAAAAAAAAAAAGAAGAAGAAGGAGCAGCTGGAAATAACATCATTTACTTTTGAATTTCTCCCTGTGATGTAAGGTGGCCATCACATATTAACTTGGCAATGTTTAGGACAAAAAGCTTCTTTTCAAAACAATCATTGCCAAAAAGAAAGAATTAGAATGACTGGCTTATGAACTAATCAGGAGATCCCTGGGCTGAAAGGAAGGTAATCATTACTAAACACATGCCCTCCTGGAAGAAGACAAACACAGTTGACATTGTGCCAACAAGAAAGTGATAGGGGAAAATCACATTGTTCCCACAACTAATTATTTTAACACAGTCTTGAATTTGTCCTTTCCCTGCTAAACTATTTTTCTACATGTATACATTCCTTAAACTTATGATCAACAATTCCTCAATATCCTCTGCTCCTTCATGGAAAGTTTGCATTAACTACTGGCCTTAACAGGTATCTTCTGAGGACTTTGCTTATCTGCAAACTATTTAATTTCCATGCCCCTACCTATCTTGGAGCAAGAAGGATAACTAGGAGCCCTTCTTATTTTTCATTGTTTTTTTTCTCATTCTTTTCCTTCCTTTCAAATAGCTCTTTTGGTGCTTATAACCAAATGGGTGCTCTCATTTGCAAAACTGTGGGCTATTCCTTTTCCTTCATTAAAGTCATGGACTCCTGGACTGGGGATGTAGGTCAGTGGTGGAGTGCTTGCCTAGCAGCACAAGGTGCTGGGTTACATCCTCAGTACTGCAAAAAAGTAAAAAATATTTTTTTAAAAAATTGTGGACTCCTAATGCACTCTATTTCCCTCTTTTCCTATTCCTATCATCCTTCTTAGGATGCATTTCTGTATTCAGTCATACACAAAGGAAAGAAAAGCCAGTCTCAAGGATGTACTTAAGCATCATGAAAACTATTAATACATCATTTATCACCATATGTATGGTAATATATCCAAGGTAATATAAAGCAATATAATATGATATATTAACATAATATATTAAACATACTTTATAGATTAGAGCAAAGTAATAGTAATACAAATTTCAAGGTAAGAGCCAGCACCAAGGTTTACTCCTGATAACTCATGTAATTTTCCAGGTGCTTTCTTTTGGACACTTCATGATATGCGGCAGAGGTCAATAATGTTAACATTTTACCTGATTTTTTAAGTTATACAAATTTAAACATGTTGTCTCATTTCATAAGATAGTCTGCATTTTATAGCATTTTACCAAATGAGCAATATAGACTACAAGTGATAGTCATCCCATTGCCCACTCATTCTTTTTCTGTGTCTCCAAAAAGCATGTCAGAACAAACATTTTGAATTAGCTTCCTGATATCTGATGTACCTTGGTCATAAATTAGCTCAAATTTCCCAAGAACAGTATAGCTATTTTTATTTCTCATTATTGCTAATTCTAATTCATCCATGGGAATTAATATGGAATTGTGTGATCTCATTAAACCACAGCATGGCAAGGAGGATACGTATCATGGAGTATGCACTTCACTCTACATATTTATTTCTAGGGTTCAGTTGAACTCTCAGAAGAAGAGCAATAAAGAATATAGGGAAAAATGTCTTAAGAAATAATGAACAAAATCTTCCTAAGAAGGAAAGAAAAGTCTTTTCAAGAAATTTTGCAGGAATAATTGCCTATTTGTATTTAAGATTATCATCAGCTGCAGTAGGCCAGCTGCAGTAGAAAATATTTGTAATACATATGATTAACAAAGGACTTAACCCCAGAATATGTATTGGAAAATATATGGATAGAAATTTTATAAAAGAAGATATACTAATGTCTAATAAGAACATGAGAAGATGTTTAATATCATGAGTCATGAAGAAATGCAAATTAAAATTACAATAATATAGCACTATTCAACAATTAAATTGGTTAAAATCTGAACAACTGACAATACTAAGCATTGTCCCAGATATGGAGCTACTAGAATACTTACACTGATGGGTAGAAATATAAACTGCTATGACCACTTTTGAAATCTCTTTAGCCTTTTCTTAAAAAACTCTAAAGGGCTGGAGGTAAAGTTCAGTGTTAAAGCACTTGCCTAGGATGTGCAAGACCTTAGGTTTGATCCCCAGCAAAAAACACACACACACACAGAGAGAGAGAGAGAGAGAGAGAGAGAGAAGAAAAACACAGCAATTGCTTATCCTCCAACCCAATCATTCTAATAGAAATGAAAATATATATCACATGAAAACTTGTAACATATATCTATATAAGCTTCTTTTACAATAATAAAAAGTAGAAGCAATCCAAATGTCCCTCAAGTACGAATTATAGAATATCTGTACAATGGAATTCTACTCAGTGATTTAAAAAAGAAGAAGGAATTAGTGACACATGCAACAACGTGGGTCAATCATTTTTATTTATTTATTTATTTATTTTTGGCAGTGTTGGGGATTGAACCCAGGGCCTTGTGCATGCCAGGTAAGCAATCTACCAACTGAGCTACATCCTTAACTACCTGAGTCACTCATAAAATCATTATTCTGAGTGAAAGAAGCCAGACAACACACAGAACATGCTATGAACACCACATTTATATAAAAATTTTAGGATATGCAAATAAATCTATAGTGATGTAAAACTGAACAGTGATTAGGTAGGGTCAGGGGTGAAGGGAGGAACAAACTACAGAGAGTATGCTAGAAATATTTTGTATTGTGATTGAGGCGATGGTTTGTTGCATACCACAGACATCTGTAAAAACTCTGAAGTTGTAGATATTATAGGGATCAAGATTACTTTATGTAAATTATCCTTCAATAAAGCTGATTTTTAAAATATCACTTCTTTGAAACAGCCTGAACACAGAAATAAATGTTATGCTAATTGCTTTCAACAAGTTCACAAATATCACTCTGAATATCACTCTTAGAAGATGGACGATTGGCACAGATCATATTTTGTTTTCATGTTGCCCTATTTTTGAACCACAAATTTATATTAGCAAGAGAGGATCAAGGTTTAACCTGTGGCAGACAGAATCTGAAACACTGATCTCCTTTTCACTAAATCACTGAGCAAAGAACAAACTAAGTGAATACAGTGTGTAAAAAATAAATAAAATTGCTGATTAAATTCAGGCTACTGATTACATCCACAGTGAGGAACAAAGAACAGCATTCACTTGCAACCCAGAGCTGCATGAAGTTGAAACATCTCCCAGTAAGCCAACAGATACTTTTCTGGAGGATGAAATTAGGAAGAAAGACCTACTTCTTAACAAGTTATGGATTTCACACCAAGAGTGGTTTAAAGAGACATTTTAACTAACCGTAAATTAATGAGTAATATATAATTTCACACAAAGATTGTTCAACTGTATTAAAACCAGTTTTAATACACCTATGACTAAATAATACTTTAAATACTATGTTTAGAATAAAAATGCAAAACAAACCTACCGAAGAAATGATCTAATGTTTTCAGCTTTCATTTCTGACAACAGTTTCCCTCGTATACTTTGACCATGGTGTGGTGCACAGATTGTTTCTTTGAGAGGCTTAAAAAACCAGCCTGTGGGGGGAAAAATACATATACACAATTACTTTTGACTTTATTAGAAGTAGAAACCAGCTGTGGTGCAGTGGTGAATGCCTGTAATTCCAGAAACTAGGGAAACTTAGGCAGGAGGATCTCAAGTGTGAGGACAGCCTGGAACACTTGACAAGACCCTGACTCAAAGAAAAAAAAAAAAAAAAAAAATTAAAAAGAAGAAAAAAACCAAAAGCCAAAAAAGGCAAAAAGAAAAAGAAAAACTGATGCCTGACAAATAGCTCATAGTGAACTTTTTAAAAAAGATCCATATAAAATGCAGAAAACCTCCACATTCCTTTGTGTGCTGCAATTTTGAGTGGGTTAAAACCGGTTTTACTTGAGAGATCTGCTTTCCCTTCTTACATGTTTGCATCTCTGAGTTAAGGCCTTTCTTATTCTTGCCAGGGGATCTAATTTGTACCAGTTCTTGACACACAGGGAGTTTTCCAAAATTTATGTATTTAAACGATAAGGAAAAAGTTCTTTGCAGTGCTTAGTCAATATTAGCTAATAATTTTGACTCATTACTATTACTTGGAAATGCAAATAAATTTTTCATCCCTGTAAACAGTGACAGCCCTAAGTTCTCTTTTCAAATGCCCACAATAAAAGCCAGAACTCAGTGAGTTTATTTATTTTATTTTATTTTATTTTTTTCTTATTGCGGCCACAAATACATTCTGTTCGGTTTCTAGTTTGGGTGCAGTTTATGGAGTTAGCCATGTTGTGAGCCGAACTAGACACTGGCCTGGGACAACCCACTCGCTCCAGCTACAGGCTTCCTCCCTTTACCTCCCCAGAGAGACAGCCCGGAGACTTGATTGTACACTCACCCACCATAAAGCCCACCAGAAAAGATGCCAGCACGGCAATCAAAGACATCCAAAGGTACAGACGGCCCCTGGACTTCGCCATGGCTTCTGTTCTGAGATCTGGGAGCCAGCAGCCCTCGCAAAAGCTCCGGGCTGCAGAAGAGCAGAGAGAGAGAGAGCCTTGAAAGCGGCGACCTCCCAGGCAGCTTTCACCGCCGCTGACCGCAGCTGACCTTCCAAAAGGCGGCTCAGCCCTGCCAGTGGGTCCAGAGACTAACAAAAAGGAGCGAGCCCAGAGCTCCTTCTGGCCCCTGAAGTCGCCAGGAACCCTGGCGGGGAGAGAGGAAGCCCTGCAGAGGGAGGAGGTACTCTTCCTGTTGGCCTGCAACTTCCATTCCATGGATCCTGCAGTATCCGGGCAAAGTCGCTGTGGCAGCTGCTGGAAATGTTCCTGCTCCCTAAAAGACTAAAGCACTGCTTCTTCGCCAATCCCATCCCAAGAATTCCGGAATCTCGGCTGCAAAATATATTTGAGCGTTATTTTTCATTCCTTTTTGATTGCTCCGGTTCCAGATTCTCGGACCCAATTTCCAACTTGTCAAACTTGGGAATAATCCAGATCCTGACTGCTCCACTGCAACTCACTAATGTCTCAACCATACATCAACACCAAAATGAGAATGAAATTCTTTTGTTCCACGCCCTCACATGAACAAGTCTCCAAATTCGGGTAATTCCTCTCTAACTGAGGTTTTCACATTCCTCACTGGAATGTTATAGATTCAAGTTAATACAGTTAGCCATTCAAAGGATCTTGCATTATTACAGTCAATGAGTTTTGAGCAAATGTCACTGCCCCAGCCCTCATCCTTCCCTTACACTTACCACACATTTTCTTTAAAGGTGTTTAGAAGATTTGCAAACAGAACTCCTGCATCCACCCATCTCACCCAGAGGGAAATTTTAGGAATTTACAAAGGGCTACTCATATGTAAGCAAAATCATTTTCTTTTTCAGCCAAAGCAACATTTTTGCGTGGGATTGGAAGGAGATGGTACCTCCAGGACTATGCCCTACCTTTGCTGCATTGTCTGCAGTTCTAATGGCCTTAGACAAGGCATCTTTCTTCGTTTTTAACAAGTTATTACAAGCAAATGATTTATTTCTCCTCAGTGTCATTGTTGGCTGATATATCTATTTTTTTTTTTCCTCTTAGAACTTTTGTAAAATCCCTAAAAGTTAACTTTAAAATAAATATCTTTATTGAACTAATTGCTTTTTTAGAATATTTATATATTGTTTAAAGCCCAGCTAACCTCAGCTCCTTCAGCTACTGGCCCCTTACACATTCCTCAAATGATTCTTCTGGTGTTTTTTTTTTTTTTTTTTTATTTCAGAGACAAACACCTTTCCATGAGTATTTTCTTTAAAAAATAAGTTGGTCCCTAACCCTATAGATACACAGCAGCATATACAGCAAGTTAGAATGAAATTATTGATAATGTGCAACAGCTGATGAAATAATTATCCCCCTCAATCTTGGAGCACCCAAATGTATTTTATCTGTTTTACTAATAAAGAATATAGGGCTTTAAATAACTATCTAGTGTCAAACATTGGGACAAGAGTCTTCTCAATATCTAATATATAATATCTAATTTGATTTGTGCTTCACATAAACATTTTGAGGATCTCTTATGTAATTTGTTAATTTCTAGACCTTTGGCTATTTTTTTCTTCTGTTTTTCTTGAAAACTTTGCTATTGCTGTATAGATCTCAAAAGACATATGTAAATTACCTCTACAACAAAATTTTGTTGGAGAGAGAAGGTGGAAACTAATGATTAAAATAGCTGCTTGTTAAATTAGTTTTTTCCCTACTCCTATCTTTTTTTAAATTTATTTATTCATTTTGATTTTTTATACATGACAGCAGAATGCATTTCAATTCATAATACACATGTAGAGCACAATTTTTTTTCTCTGCTTGTACATAGAGTCACATCATTTTTGTCTTCATATATGTACTTAGAATAATGATGTTCAACTCATTCCACCAGCTTTCCTACCCCTATGCCCACTCCCTTCCCCTCCCTCCCCTTTGCCCTATCTAAAGTGCCTTCATTCCTCTCATGCTCCCCCTAACCCCCAGTCTTCATTATGAATCAGCATGCACATATCAGAGAAAACATTCGGTATTGGGGTTTTGGGGATTGGTTTACTTCACTTAGCATGATATTCTTCGACTCCATCCATTTACCTGCAAATACCATGATTGCATGCTCTTTTAATCCTGAGTAATATTCCATTGTGTATATATATCACAGTTTCTTTATCCATTCTTCAATTGAAGGGCATCTAGTTTGGTCCCATAATTTAGCTATTGTGAATTGTGTTGCTATAAACATTGATGTGACTGCATCTCTGTAGTATGCTGTTTTTTAATACAGTTCTGTGGTGTGCAGTGTTGTGGCTGGTGATAGTCTTCATACCCTGTCCTGTGTCCCCAGGTGCAGGCTGTCACGATGAACACTACAGAAATGCAGAAAATAATTAGAAATTATTTTGAAAAATTGTACTCCAATAAATACAGTTCTATGGTGTGCAGTGTTGTGGCTGGTGATAGTCTTCATACCCTGAAGATATCAAAGACATAGACAAATTTCTAAAATCAGATGATTTACCTAAACTGAATCAGAATGATATACACAAGGTAAACAGATCAATTTTGAACAATGAAACAAAAGACACCATCAGAAGACTACAACCAAGTAAAGCCTAGGACCAGATGGATACACTGCTGAGTTTTAGAAAACCGTCAAAGAAGAACTAATACCAATACTCTTCAAATTATCCCATGAAATATAAAAAGAGGGAACACTTCCAAACTCATTCTATGAAGCCAATATCACCGATTTGAAAACCAGATAAAGACACATGAAATAAAGAAAACTTCAGACCAATATCTCTAATGAACATACATGCAAAAATTATCAATAAAATTCTGGCAAATCAAATACAAAAACATATTAAAGTGATAGAGCACCAGGATCAAATGAGATTCATCCTAGGGATGCAAGATTGATTCAACTTATGGAAATCAATAAATGTAATTCATCACATCAATAGACTTAAAGATAAAAATCATATGACCATCTTAATAGATGCAGAAAAAAGCATTCAACAAAATGCAGCACCCTTCATGTTCAAAACACTGGAAAAACTAGGGATAATAGGAACATATCTCAACATTGTAAAAGTTTTTTATGCTAAGCCCAAGGCCAACATCATTCTAAATGGAGAAAAAATGAAAGCATTCCCTCTAAAAACTGGAACAAGACAAGGATTCCCTCTTCTACCACTTCTATTTAACATAGTTCATAAAACTCTATCCAGAGCAATTGGATGAAAGAAATGAAAGGAATACAGATAAAAAAAAAAAAAGAACTCAAATTGTCTATTTGCTTATGACATGATTTGTGTGAGAGCAGCTGTTGGAGGTCCTCTAAAAACTTGCAGACAAACAGTGTTTCCACTGCTTGAATCCCAGGTCACAAAGCTACAAAGAATGCCATCTCTCTCTAGCCTGCCATCTAGATCCTCTACTCCTATCTTAAATATACTAGTTGAAGTTTGACTAATAGAAAAATTGATGTATTATTTAGCAAAATTTTCCAAATTGGCTAATTTTCCCATATAAAAATTAAATCACTGCTGGGCACAGTGGTACATGCCTGTAATCCCATGATTTGGGAGGTTGAGGCAAGAAGATCACCAGTTCAAGATCAGCCTCAGCAATTTAGTGAGGTCCTAAGCTTTTGGTGAGACCCTGTCTCAAAATAAAAAAATAACAAGGGCTAGGGATGGTGCTCTGTGGTAAAGTATCCCTGAGTTTAATTTCTGTACCCTCCCCCCAAAATGGTTGGTTTACTAACTCAACCAACACTTATTGAAATGCTATAGCATGCCACTCATTGTGCTTAATCCTGAAATTAGTATCATTTTATTTATAAAACCTACAATGTATGAGAAGACAGATAATGATTAAATAATTAAAAGTAACAGTTTCAAGAAGGAACAATATTTCCTCAAATATGAACATTATTATGCCCTATTAGGCAGCATTTGTAATCTGTATCTTGACAATTCATTATGAAAAGTCCAGTTAGTTTGTTCAATAAGTCTTTGGCCTTTTGTTAATAATAGAATCTGCAAGCATTCAAAATTCCATTTTAATTAAGCCCATAACAGAAGGGGTCACTATCAAAAAATAGTTTCTAATTATTAACATCTCAACAAATATTTGCATCTTGCAAAACACGATTAACAAAGCAACATTGTTGGTTGATATGAACCCTTTTCAGTCTTTCCTTCAAAGCTGGAAAGTGAACTAGAAAGGTATTCTATTGGAAAAAAACAATCTCAACAAAACTACTTGACGTGTACACAATATTTTTCATCTTCCTTTGAAGACAATATTGCATTACTGTTGGAATCAAATATTTGTCATTCATTCCCAAGACCTTATAAATTCCATTTTCCCCAATTATTTCTAGTTTTAGAATCTGAGACACATTTTCCAGGCATCTGGTTAACTGAAACTTCTCTAATTCAAAATATCCTTCAAAAAATTTAAAGAAAGGGCTGGGGTGGTGGCTCAGTGGCAGAGCGCTTGCCTAGCATGTGTGAGGCACCGGGTTCGATCCTCAGCACCACGTATCAATAAATAAAATAAAGGTCCATTGGCAACTAAAAAAAATAAATAAATAAAAGAAATTTAAAAAATATTGTGAAATTAAAGAGAATTAGGTGAAAGGTCCAAACAAAACTGAGAGTCTATAATCCCTATAATTAGTTTTTCTTTATAATGTAAACAACTTAATTCTTACTTTTGGATCTAATAGGCCATAGTAAAACAATTGTTTGATTTTGGGGGGAATTTTAATTTTTTATAAAATTTCAAATGTCTGGGAAATCTAGCTGGACATGGTGGTGTATGCCTGTAGTACCTGGATATATTTTTAATGCTCACACTTAACAAAGTTCACACTTATCCTTTTTATAACCATAAAAAAAAAAAAAAAAAAGCCTTAATTATCTAGGGAAGTGGTTCCTGGCATGAAGTCCCCAGAACAACAGAATCAATATCACTTTGCAACTTGTTAGCCATGCAAAGTCTCAGGTCAATCCTAGAACTACTGAATCAGAAATGAAGCAATTTATGTATAGCAAGTACCACAAGTGGATTCTGATCATGCCAAAGATTGAGAAACACTGAAATGAAATGGCAGCCTGAAATGAAATGAAATTCCAGCTACTGTGGAGGCTGAGGCAGGAAGATCACTTGAGTCAAGCCTTGAGCCAGGAAAGTTGTGACCAACCTGAACAATACAGAGAAATTTCAGTTTACAAACAAGCAAAAATCTCAAAGATTTGTTTGTGTTTTAGTTATGTGAAGGTTCATTCTGTCATGTTGAAGCCAGATTTAAAGTTAAGTAGTCAGTGTAGTTAGGTAAATCAGGTCTAATATCAAGTAAGATCCAAAATGGAGGCCATGTTGAGAATGAATTCCAGGAAAAGCAGAACAACTCTTGGAATGTTAATGAAGTCCCAGAAAAACCCAAGGCCCAGAGCCCATCCCAAAGAAGTGTTAATGAAACAGCTCCCAGCAAACACAAGATGCTGACTCAAAAGTCCTTCCTGCCCAGATTACT